TTGTCCGGCAACAATTAGTTCCCATTAATCAAATGAAAAGCTAAGTGTCCTCGGTTAACAAAAGCCTAGATGAGGCGGCGGATATCACAGTATATACCACTGGCTGTGTACAATTGCCTTACATTGTTTTTATTTTCATTTAAGCTTTAGTTCATTTCGTTGACTTGTGTGGATTGTGTAATAAACCAAGTTTTTACTGCAAGCAATCAACCTTTACACCAACGACAAAAATAACCGAAAATAGACAAAAGACAAAGAAGAGGAAAAAAAGTTTTGTTAAGTAAGAAAACAAATATTCAATAATATAAATGAAAGAAGAAGATATTACTAGAGGATTGATAGAGAAAATGTAAAACTGACACCCTACGCAAGTTTTTTGCATTACTCACTAGAGATAGTGAATCTTTATTTCATAGAAATGAATATCTTCTCTAGACGGAATCAATGGTGCCTTTACACTAATAATGCCAAAGGTCATAAAGCCTGTCGCAACGAAAATGATTACACGCGCTTAGCAGCTTCTCAACTTGGTTATACTATCACACTACACATAGAGAAATGTTTGGAAAAAAATTGTGATTTTTTTTTTTGTTTTTTTTTTACTTTCCAAAAAAAATTATAATAAAATAATTTTTTTTTTTTTTAGCATACTACGTGAATGAGCGAAACTAGGATGAAAGTGAAAGACATTTTTAGTTTCAAGGCAACAAGAACTAATCTTTAGTGGTTAGTTTAACTGTGATAAGTTCAGATAACGTAGATATATTCTTCGTGCGCCTAAGCATAGTGCATAAGCAGTCTAATGGAAGGTGTCTTTACTCTTTAATAGTTTATGGTTTATAGTTTATTTCAAAACCATAAGGTGTTGTGCAAGTTAACTGTAAAAAGTTCACATTACATAGGTGTATTCTTCGAGCATCTTCTCGCGTAAGCACTCCCAGGAAAGGTAAGCCTTTGTACAGCAACAAAAGCCAAGTATAATTTTTGATATTTTGAGGTGTGAGTTAAGCGGGATAGTGTATAAAATTTTAACTTGCTTATTAATAATGTTAATAAGGAGACAATATTGGTAGACGGAAAGAAAGGCGAAGGGAAATAAGTTTTATTCCGACTAAGTGTACCAAATAACTCGTGTACAAATAACTAAGTAACCAAATAACTGACATAATGTACCAAATAACTGTTTTTCTTTTTTTTAAATCAATCAGGAGATGTCCTGCATAACGCGGTAACGGTCAGAGCGTGAGAAGTGAGAAGGGAGAAAGAAAGAAAGGAAGACATAGGGACGCGTTGGCTGCAGCTTAGTGAATGTATGCCCAATCGAGAAGTGTTGTGGCTTTATCACTCACTATAGCTACGACCAAGGTTGTACTAAATTATTGTAAAAATTCCTATGAATTTTTTGAATCATAATTAAGTAATAAAAAATTTACAATTAAAATTTCTATAAAATGAAAAACATCTGATTATTTAGTTAATTATCGATAATTTATACAAAAACGTGATAACCCTAAGTTTTTATTTTTTCTTTAATTGCGCTACAAAACTTACAAAACTTTTGTTAAAGTTAAAAAATTAAAACAATAATGTTGCAACTTGCTAGACCAGCCGTTTGATATGGTTTCTGTTTTTCCTTTTTTTTTTTTTTTTTTTTTTTTTTTTTTTTGCTTTTTTGCTTCTCTTAATTATACCATAATAAGATGATTAGTTTAGCAAAATTATATAACAATTATTTTATGTTTTCTACTTTGTTGTGTGAAAGCCGATTTGTAGTTGTGTATTTCTAAACATGTATGCGTTTTAATACCCAACACAAGGATAGGCATGTAAACGCTTTGTCAAAAGGATTCCATCAGAGACGCCAGAAAGTAGACACTTGATCAACATGTGAACCGAATTCTATCTGTCTGTCCATCGATAAAATATCTACGATAAACATTCGCCTGGTCGCAAAAATTAGGATATCCGCAAAACACTGGAAGTTCGTCCAGACGAATTTGTCTTGAAAACAAATCGCTTACAGCGCAGCATAAAATTCCTTTTCAACAGAAAAAACCAATATTTTGCTCCTTATTATCGTATGATAACTATTTTGAAGTATTTTCTATGGACGATCTTGACCCCAAGCACACATACCATTACAGAGTATCGAAATTTAATATATTTGGCTATTTTTTGTCTTCTTTTGCAAGCTAAAGGTGGGTGGGTATAAAACGTTCAATCAAAGCCATCTTTTTTTTTTTTTTTGTTTCGCTTAATAAATTCTAATATAAATATATTCACGGAAACATACGTAATCATGTCTATGTTGGTTACCCTGTTTATATGAGCATCTAATGCAATTTTTGTAACACAATAGCCCACAAAGCCGCATAAATTAGAGAAAAGTTTTTTTTTTTTTTTTTTGGTATACAGTCGGTGGTCAGTGTTCATAAGTGCGATATGAAAATGCTTACACATGTGCAAAAAAAACACACTCTTACAAAGACACAAATTGCAACTATTACTGCTTTTTTTCAGAAAGGAGAATGTAATTTGAATGTTGAGCAGATACTGTTCCAGTTTTATATGTGTCTATGCATATAACCTAAGTTGATTGTTAGTGAGCTTAGTCAACATTACGTTACAGCCACACTCTTTTATGAATGATTTCTATTTCATTTTCTTGTAGCCAGAGCTACACACAGGATGATGTCGTGCTTTGTCTTTCTTTACTTTTGTCGTATATAAAACGGAAAATATTCTAGCGAGTGTTCATATATATGCCGATAAACGTTCACTTGTCCGACTCTTTTAGAAATAGTGAAGGTGAAGATGCTAACAATACAATTGAAAAGTTGAAAACGTGCTCATCAGTAGTTGCGCTTATCAAGTTTGTTTGAACGCTTGATCCACATCGTAAATTAAGAAGAAAACTTGGGCAAATAATAAGCAGCGATATTATAGGATCACTTAGGAGTAAACATGTAAAAATCAGAGACAGTCTGTCTTCTCGAAGGCCATTTCATTGAAATGCCGGATTGAATTTTCTTTAATTTCTCTCTATTGAGATCCATGTGCTAAAAAGGAAAGCGGTTCAAAAAGGAGCCATTTACAAAGAAAACGAGACATTTATGTAGTTTTTACCTATCAGGTGCTGCCTCGCAGCATTCATGCGTACTCACTATATGAGAAACGTCGAAAATCAAAATTCCTTCACAATTTATTGGCCGGCGTGAAATAATTCGGTCTAAACAGAATAAAATTTCTCTCTTACTTCTGTCTCCTCTTTCCTCCACTTATTTATATAAATAAGACAAGTAAAAACGCTACAATAGACGACTGGCCGCTGTTAACAACCCTACATTATTCTATCTTCGTTATTCACATGACGACTTTTCAACACAAGGCATTATATGGGAAGTGGTGGAGAAAGTGGTCCGATCCGAACTATTTTCAATAAAATTTTCCGAAAATTTTCAATGGTCCTTGGGCCATGTCCGTGTACAAGACTTAATTAAAATATCTCAGTAAGAGCGACCTGTAAATTGAATACAAGAAAACAAGACAGATGGAGAGATGGGAGATACACTTGGAATTGAGAATCCATTATCTAAATCGATTGGTATTGTAAAAGATCGATCTACTCCAAATGCTTCTGGGTATTGTAAACATCCTGACAAACTTAATATACTCTTGTTCCACAAGTGATGACGAGTATGAATGTTAGAAAAGCAAATTCATATATGCGTTTTACTGCATAATACTTAATAAAGTAAATTTGTTGCTGTTCTTTCTTTTTTTTTTTTTTTTGCAATAAATTTTGGCATAATATTTTCGTTGCGTTTTCACAAATACTAAACATAGTCTTACCAATGAATATTTAATTATGTGTGTTTTATAATTATTCCATAAATATTTTATTAGGTAGCTATATAATAAAATTTATGTAATTAAATGTTCGCATGATGTGTTGCGTATTGTTGAAATTTTTGATTTGAAAAGTAAATTATTTATTAAAAATCATTATATTAAGGGATTATATTAAGTTATATACATCAATCTTTTGTTATTATTTATTATCAATTTAGCCAGAGAAGAGATTCTAAAACTGAAGCCCGCCAGTATCTATCTAAGGCTATCCATTTTATTAAAAACTCTACTGCCCTTGAAGTTTGAAGCTACATCACACAATTCACATCAGCTTCGATTTAAAAGTTAGAAATATGGTACCCTTCGTCAATTCATAATTTTCCAAAAACCATTAGCTATCCTTTTGGTTATCAATTAATGGGTGATAAAATAGGTCTTCACGACTCTTGTCCACTACATGATATTGATGCCTGTATATGAAGTCAAACTCACCTGATTATCTCAAACGAACGTGTGCTTGAAAGGCCACATTTCAGCTTACATTTTTTGTGAAGATAGTTTTCCAATACTTTGCTCGGGTAAAAAGTTATATTCATATGAAAATGGATGAAATATCTGAAGAAAAACGTTGCTGTCTTTAATTTTTTCTATATAAAAAAAGACAAACCATGCAAAAACATGCCGAAACATTTGCAAAGTTCACGGTGAGAGTGCTGTGAGTAAACAATGGACGATGGATGAGTGGTTACATCGATTCCGTACCGGAAATTTCGATGTTAAAAATGTATCTGTTATTATAGTGAAAATGATTCCGAATCGATCTAATCGTATCTGTCCCTCTGTTCGCCTGTCCGTCTAATATTCTTGTATTCAACATACAGGTCGTAATCGTCAAGATATCTCAATACAGTTTGTGACATCGTGGTGTTGCTGTTTTTTTTCAAGGACGAATGCTATCGAAAATGTTTTGAAACGGACCATTTCCCATAGAACGTAATATTTTCATTAAACGAGCAGCTGTATTAAGCGAAACAGTGTAAGGTGCAGACCGTGACGCATTATAATGTTTTTACTTGTTTTCGATTTAATTTAAAAAATTTAGATTATTCAAAATTTTTTATGTTTGCCGTTTTTTTTATACATTACAGGCTTTTTCACTCTGTGGTCAGTTGTAAAATATTAGGTGAAAATAAATTCTATACGAAAATGCTGGAGCAAAGAGAACAAAGAATCATGAAACCAAAAATATTGTTTTCTCTATACCTGTTTTTGTGTTGCATAAAAACGATTAACGCAGAAGTGTATACGGCGTTGGCGGAAATGGAAGAACTACTAGAGACTGAAGCTGTATTAATTAGTAACTTAGAAGGTTTTATTAGAGTACAACAAGATAAACTGGATTATTTGAAAACGTAAGTAAAACTGCAATTGCATAGTAAACGTAGTTTATTTCAACTCAAGAAAAATTACACATTTACTAAGAAATTTCTCTCCGAATCAAGGCGATTAAGTGGGGAGGGGGAAGAGAGGAATCCCACCTCTTATTCGTCAACATTTGTGCGTGTGAGTTATTTATTAGGAAATCGGATCAGATATGTGTGTGCGTGTTGTTGTCTTGTTCTTAATGAAATATATTTAAATTTAGATAAAATTAAAATGATTTATCAGTCAGTCGTCAAAATTATGTATACCGCAACAAATGTATGCAAATTTTATGTTAATTGAACCATTAATCGATACGCTATTTAACAGCATGTATTTAGTGGATCTTTATCGATGTTATTATTATTGGAAACCGTTTTTATCATTTTATTATGTAAAAATTTTGATCATGAATGCGATATTTTAATGATTTTGATTAATGAGAAATATAAAAAACTGACTAACCAGTTACATTGGGATTGAATTTTCTTCTCTTTTTTTTTATACGCTACGCGACTTATGGTGCAGGATATATAGTAGGGTTTGCGCGGATGTATGTAACAGCCAAAAGAACTTAAGATGGACTCTTCCTTCATTATACCGATCTAAGATTTTCTGTCCTTCGGTCTGTCCACCTGATGTCGGTCGATGCATTTTTTTATTTAACCTATAGCTCGAAATTTTTGCGATATTTTGATCGAATTTCTTTTGATAAATTCCAAGGAAGAAAGCTATTGAAAATGACGCGAGTCGGACTACTTTTTCAACCGCTCCCCATATAACGCTTTATTTTGATAAGCCGTTATATGAAAAAATATTCTAATCTTTAGATTTTCGTGATAGAAATCGCTGAATAATAGTATTTAGGCATTCTAAATTGATGTAGAAAATTAGGATCGGTTAGAGCAATTTTTTGAGTCTTCGGCCTTATAAAAGTTCGAACGAAAACTAAACTTTTATGTGGGGAAAAGATCTAATTTCCAATTTTTCCTGATGAAAATTGGTCGATAATAATAATTAGATATAAATAATAATCTTACCAAATTTGGACAACGTAGGTCTATTTTTTAGATCCCAGCGCATAGAAAGGTCTTAATAGAAAATAAGTGTTTATATCGCAAAAATGTACAACTTTTGATATTTTTTAATGAAAATTAGTTCGCAAGAGTAATGCGATATAAAATTTGGATCAAGTAGGTTTTTTACTTAGACGCAATGATATAAAGGCGCTCTCATGAAAAGCAAACATTTCTATGCCGACAAGGTCTTTACTTATAGCTTTTTGAAAGTGTAAATTACTAAAATCTTACGAAAGAAAATTGAATTTGCTAAATTTGGACCACTTAAGTGATGTGACGAATATTCTCCAATATGAGGACCTTCAGGAATATTATGCCTTCACATAAAAACAGTGAATAACTTTTAACTTTATATTGTCACAAAAAGGAATGAATGTCTTTATTTGGCAAAGTAGTGTAGGGTGTACTATGGTGTTCTTACTTGTTTTATCATGTCATAAAGAATGGAAATGTATAGGCTCTAGCATCAAATTATTCATTTATTCAATGTAAACATGTAATCATGTTCCAGAGAATGTCATATGTCATCACTAAAGCTGATTTAAATAAAATAACTTTATTTGCCAGCGTGTCTACCTGTCATATTTATTGAAATATTTTGCAATTTTCTAACAATCCAAGTTTGTATTTCCATTCCATATTCATTCTTCAATATATGTAACCACAAGTATATTTGTAAGAACATTTTATATAACAAAAGCATTCATTCGCAATATGAAATGAAAACCGAAAAATATTTGGATAAATCTAGAATGTAAGAAAAGCATACCAATGTTATTATTTTTATCCAAGATTACAATTTTATAATATTAAATAATCTTTCAAAGAGATTGCTACACTTCCTGTGCTTGTAACTTTTCTTTTGTATCTTTTCATATTTACACCCTTTTATTCTTTAGATAAGTAAGTAAGAGAGACTTACTTCATTGATTTATTTCTTTCGAAATTCTTTACAAAATTTATTCTACAGAATGCTTTACATAGGAATTTAAGTTTTTACATAGCTAACACACTGTTGGGATAACGATTTATTTAATATAAAATAATTTATTTAATATAAAATAAATAATTATCTCTTATATGGTCAAGAAATGCGGTTCGAAAATCTCATATATATAGATTCGATTAGCTTAGATAGCCAATCGATACTGCTATCTCAAGCACCATCATATATTTACGTGAGCTTACCGCTGCGAACAGTCAAGTGGTAAAGTAAAATATTTGTATCCTTAGGTGGATGGCTCCACAGGATTCCAAATCAATTCAAGTTTTTTCTGTCTGTACGTTCGTCGTTCGCTTATCTGCATTTTGTTGTTAAAATGCTCACGAGCACGAAAATTTGTGAAAGTAAAGACCTGACAAAGATTCCCCCACCTATACTCTAGCTCTATACAACCGTACATTTCAAACTTCAACATAAAGCTCGTAGGAGATGTGTATATTCTGTGTAAACAATGTAACAAGGAGCATAGAACACTTCAATGAGAAAAGACTAGGGCAGAGCTAAGGTGAGCAAAGAATTTTAGTTTACAGCTTATAAGAGCTTTCAATGCAAAACTTGACACAAATACTTCCGAAGGCTAAGCGATCAATTAGCACGTCCACATTTAGGTAGGTAGTAGGTGGATATCGAAGCTTCATCGTACATATTTTTCATTAGTCTCAAGCAGACCATATTATCCGTTAACATTATACCACATTTAAGCGAGTAACATGAGTAAAAATGTACATGTTTTTGTTATGAGCCACTCACACTCTTTATGTATGCATCTATATATAGTTTATGTATACATGTATACAATATTATCCTGGAATGCTTATTTAGTGCTTCGTAATTTGAATATTTAAAAAAAATATATTAAAAATTTTATTCCTTTATATATGTCTGTTGGTCTATGTAAAAGCGGATATGTGCAACGAATCGCAATAACATGAGATTGTCTATAACTTGTATATTAAAAGCCAGACCGCGCAAAAGATATATAAATACGATAAACTTGACGAGTATAAAAGCAACTCAGTTGAGTTTATTTATTTCATTTCTTTATACCTTTGTTTTGTGCAGTCGTCCCTAACAGCTGTTATTTACTTCTCGATACAAAATATTTCCTGCCTTTGCATTTGCACATAAGGATGCGTAAAACCATATACAGGTAAACAAGGCAATGCTAATATAAAATACGGTCTCACAATTATATCTATTTTGACGGTTAATGGTGGCTCGTGCTATAGAGAGGAAGGAGAGAAATATTGTAGATATCATATGATCGTTCGACCGGCATATTTTAATATCTCCACAGAAATTCATTTCATTTAAAAGATTTCATTGTTGTTGTGGTTTTTTTTTTTTTTTTTTTTACTGTGTTATGCAGAACAGAATAGTCTTGCATCGAAGCATCTGTTTGACAAGAAATATAATAAATTTTTTTCCCTTGACATATGTACTGAGTAAAATAATGCTTGAGGTTGTGTGAGCATGTGTGTTCTACTTTACGCCGATAGAATAAACTTGCAGAAATTAATTTTCTTACTCAGCTTTTTCAAAATTGTAATTCTCGCAGCCTTAATTATTTATAGACGTTCCTCTACAGAAAATCTTCTATAAATATTGCGAATCTTTTCTATAGAATTTCTTCTATTTCTTCTCAGTACATGTGTCAAGGGAAAAAAAATTATTATATTTCTTGTCAAACATATGCCTCGATGCAAGACTATTCTGTTCTGCATAACATATCAAAAAAAAAAAAAAAAAAAAAAACCAACAACAATGAAATCTTTTAAATGAAACGAATGTCTGTAAAGACATATTAAAATATGCCGGTCGAACGATCATATGATATCTACAATTTTTCTCTTCTCCCTCTCTACAGCACGAGCCCCCATTAACCGTCAAAATAGATATAATTGTCAAACCTTATTTTATTTAAGATCAATGAAATGTTTTTTAATTACATTGAAAAATGGATAAAGGCTTGTTTGGAGGAGAGCAATTTTGATAGATCTTAAAAAAAAATTCAAGAAAAATACTCAAGTAACTGAGAAGATAAGAATCGCCAGAGCCGAGTCAATGTTGGCGGGCTCAAATCTCGAATAGCTATAGTGACCGCTCAATCGGTAAACGGATAACACTTGTCGTTCGGCCACAGGCCCACCAAATGCCGATTACCGTCTGTCTATTTTTTTTTTTCTCTTTCCTATCTTCTTTCTGACGATCAACGTGTTATACGAATACAGGATATCCCCTGAGTGATTGGTCATACTAATGAAAAGGTTTTGTCATGTAAAATCTAAACATTTACTAAACATTTCGTATATCCGTAAATGAATTCACAAACAATTTTATATCCATCTCTTGCAAATTTATGGCAGCTAAATGCGTTCCTCTTCCCCGCTAAAGGGACGTTTTGTTTTACTTTTTTCCTTTATAATCTTATTAACCGAAGCGATTAGTTTATCGTTAAATTCTGGAAATCCTAACTAGAACCCCAGGGAATACTTTTTTTTTTGGTATAAGTTCTCTCACCAGTTACGTAGGCTGATAAAAAGACACGAGAGTAATCCAAATACATTTCTAAAGCAGTATATTGCCTCTTAAGTTGAATTAATTTTTCGCAACAATTTTTCAAGTTATTTATCCTCTTTTAATTAACTACATTTTGCTATTAAAAAAAAAAAGAAAAAACCCCTTGAAATGTACACTATATCTATGGAAAGTTTCAAAAACTTATGCTGCTAAGCAATTTATGAATGATTTTAGTACAAACCCCTCTACTCTTTGCCACTGTCTTCGTAAGAAGCAAACTTGAATAAATTTTTTAACAAAAACTTTATCATAGAATATGTTAAATGGAATTTTTGTTATTCAAAAAAAAGTAAAAGCCGACCTGTTACATACCCTACGCCACCTTTCAATTATTCCGTTAACGGCTTTTCGAAATAAGGCGTCTCGTGGAAAGCGGTTAAAAAAGTGCTCAAATCTGAACCTCTTGCCCTTGGGTCAAGACACGCCAAAGTGTAACATATTTCATCGAAATATCTCAAAAATAGCGATTTATAGGTTGAACCCAAGAATACAAGACGGACAGAAGGACAGAGAAGTTTAGATCGATTCGGAAAGTGATTTTGAATATAAAGATAATAACGAATGAATCTATTACAATTCCTTCCGGATATTGTGCTTACATCCGCACAAATGTGATAAACACTTGTACCACAAGATTATAATGATCTTAAAAGCTTTTCCTCACTTATTAAGCAACACTTTAATTCTGGTAATTCTGGTAGCAATTTCTTGGATGACCAACTTTGAAAATATCCTTTTCCGCTTATGGGGAACATAGTATAGTTTCAACAAGTAAAAAGAAAAAAATGTTAGATGTTGGTCACCAAAGTAATCCAAATATATATAAGAATCGTATTTTTCATATTTTTTGAGGGCTGTTTGCAAGTCACCTTCTTAATAGAAGCGGAAAGCTTATCCCTCTTTACGATTGATGTGGAAATGGTACACACGAAAACATACACATTCTACTAAATACGTTGGACGCTGCTTTCAAATCTGTGAGCGCTTGCAAAAAACACACTTTTTTTTTTTGTTTGTCAATTAATTGGTTCGTGGGGAGTTGGCGAACTCGATTTCATACTTACAGAAAAAAATTTGTTGTATTTTTTTAAATATATATATATATGCTCTCTATAACTCTCATAATGAAAATAACAAATTCACATAAATTCCTTAAAGGAAGAAACTCAACTGTCAACTTAAACTACGCGAAGGTAATTAAAACGAAATATTAAAAATTTTGTAATTTATATTAACATTTTACTTGCTTATGAGTTAAATTCACCTTTAAAGCACAAGATATTCATTGTATGGCTGATAAATGTTAAAGTAATCGTTTTACCAATGTTTTGTCGAAAGTAAAGGAAAAAAGTAACGGTCGAAATTTATAAACACCCTTACGCGAATATGAACACAAACAAAAAAAACAAAAAAAAAACATATGTTTATGTTATACATAAGATAAAGGTATGTATAAAAATTATATAAAAATTTTGAAAGAAAGCCGGCTGCGTTCGAAATTATTAAAAACACACACATAATTTTCAACCCCAACGCTGCAATAAGACTTTGAAGGTGCAACAACAAATATATACGAGTCAACGACTTAGACAGCAATAATAAGAGAGGAGAGCAGAGAAATAGTGTTTTAAGCTACCAGCAGGAGCAGATGTTTTTCTAAGCGGAACGCGCCAATCTTGCTGCCACATATTACATACATATGAATGTACTATGTAGAGGGGAGTGTGAGCTCAGCTTATACTTATTGTTCTTTATTATTATACATGAATGAGTTCTTCGTTTTTATTTTCATTTATTTCGCTAACGCTACTACCACTCGTTGTGACGGAAGTAGACGAGGATATGATCGCATCTTTGTTGGCTGAAATATAGTAAAACAGAAACAGTCGTTAAGATTAGTTCGTGGCGAAAGGCCGTTGTCGGGAAATAGATTATAAATGAGGAAGAAACTTTTATTATAGAAAACAACAAAAAATTATGTCTAAACATAACTATACCAATCCGGCTTTTTGCCAAAGTAGTGAATTTTATCCTGTACCATCAGCGAAGCGTAACGATAATATTGAAGACATTTATAATCGCAGCTTGCTGTCAAATTATACTGCAAAGGCAAGTAAGGCTCCGCCCGATCCCTGCGATGCTCCCCTACGTATTCAACGAAGCATGTCCACACGCTCGATGCTTAGACAGAAAGCAGTATCGTTCAATAACCCACTGCAACGCGAGCAACAACAAAAACAACAACAACAACAACAATGCACAGAAGCACCTAGATTCGCTTCGGATGGTACAGTTTCATCGTTTGACACTCGTAGCGGTTCAGGTCGTTATGCAATTGTTCCAGTTGAGGAATTACCTGCGTACAATAAACACAGCTACACCATTATTTCGGATCCCAACAATCTTGACTCACGCCTGGACCGAAATTATGCTAAATCTCATAATAATTTAGAAAATTTTAAATCTCCGACACTCGACAATCCAGATGAGCGCGAGCCTCATTCTTTTCACGAAGATCCGAGAGCATATCCCTTTACCAGTTCACAAATCGGTATCGAAACAGCGATTTCGTCAAAAAAATCTCGGATTTTCTTGCAGAATCGTCAACCGTCACAAAATATTCATCCTTCAAATATCAAACATGCTTTTTCCAGTGATTTTAGTAGTAAAACGTTCATGTTGGTGGATAAGAATAGCAATCAACGTTATCAAATGGTGCCGACCGCCGAAAATGAGGAATTGGTTGACGATAATCATGAGGTTATACAAATGCATAATGGCAAAGCTCATCGCTATGCCGTTATTCCTACCGAAGATACTGACAACGACGACGAGTACGACATCTCACAAGATCCGGAAAATAATCCGGAAGAGGAAACTTGTCTAAGTACTACCGACTTGAATAAAAGTCGTCAATTTTCTACTTTGAATGGTGAAACGAATCGTTCGCCAATTTGCACCTCAACGCCGCAAAAAGTATTATCTGGACCTAATCATAACTCTATTCCGAACACGCCAATGAAAAATCTGGCGGCGACTAAAATGTTACAAGAAATTCTCTCAACACCTCCACGTAATGCAATCGTGCAAAGAAGCTTTCGTTCACAACCCAACACACCTCGTACGAATTATATTTGGAGTTCGCAGAGGGACTTAACTACTCCTCATCCGGATACTCCGCGTAAAAATTCTCAATTGTCACCGCAAAGATTGTATTATGAAAGTGTAAAACCAATGGTTGTGAAGCAAACATTAAAACAAAACGAACGCGATCGCACGATGGCCGTTATACAACCACGTTTGGCCACCTGTCGACAAACTGAATCACAGGTCGAAGAAGACGCATCCAGCAGTATTCAAGCGAAATCTTTTGATAATAATTTGTATCCTCAAAAGATCGCCAATGCGACTGTCACGTTGGCGATAGTTTCATTAATGTTAGTCTTGGGTAGTTCCATGAACTTAGGTCTTATCGTCTATATGATAGCTCGTGTAAGTTGCGAAAGTGCTTGAAAATTCAATAATCACTTATATATATATATATATATCCGTTTGCTTTCATTTACAGTTGGGTAAATCGTTTTATCTTCAATTCAGTTTGATGGCTGCTTTTTGTGGCTTTGGTTTGGGATTTTTGGGATTTCGTTCGCGTCATTGCGAATGGTTACCTAATCGTAGTTACATTTCTGGCTACGTTCTTTTAACCATATTTTGTTTGCTTAAATGTTGCGCTCTCTTAGTGATCTTGGTATTGGATCCTTATCCTGGTTTACCGTTGCATGACGTGACAACCGGCGTTATTTTGGCATTATCCACGTTTAGCATGTTTTTCATAGGCTTGGGTGTCATTGGCAGTTTATGGTGTTATCGTCCGCCTCCAGATAATCGTGTTAATATAGTTTAATTAGTCTTACGTTTACATTTCTAGTTATCTGTACTTTTTGTTTTGAACATCATTTCATACGTATAACAGCTAAAATACCAAAAAAAAAAAAACAACAACAACAAAAGCAAAAAAAAAAAAAAAACAATCGAAAAAGCCAATCAAGTTTATTGCGTACATATACCGCTTGAAGTTTGGCATTATGTGTTCACATTGGCAAAATTTTTTGCAAATCAATAATGTTTGTTACAATGAAAAAGAAGTTATTACTGTTTAACGTTACTTTAGTTAATAAAAAAAGGATACGCAGGGGAGTTGAAGTAATTTCTGCAGATTTTTAGTAAAGTAAGTCTTTGTATAAAATAGGTAACAGGAAAGGCTGTTACCCAAGACTCATTTCTCAGTCAAGTCTCATTTCTCGCAGGGACCATCTTCCAGCAGCGTATGTTCTCCATTCGAAAAACGAGAAGAGAAAGAACCCCAGTATATCATTGGCTGAAGAATGTGTGAATAAGAAAAAGAAATTTTTTTGTCCGGTCAGATCTTACTAAAAGATCAGTCCACAACATCTTCTAGTTTATTGGGGTCGTCTTCTCTCGAACGAGTAGCGAAGTAAGTAAATAAAGGCGGCCGTCAGGCCAATGTTCACATGCTCAAATCTCAAGAGCTGCAGGGTACACTTTGATCGTGATTATAGTGAGTATTCAGCCACACCCACACCCACCGATTGGCCACGCATCCATAACTTGGCTGCACCCATGAGTTTCTTATCCCCTTCCCTTTTCATAATTCCTTCCTTCTGACCGTCACCCTGCTATACGAATAGAAGGCATCTGCTGCAAATGCTTTTGCGTTCTCGGTGAACAGCTCCTAATACGTTGCATCCCCTAAATTTGGGCGTCCGGTATACTCGGCGTTATCGTCTATATTGACTGTTGGTCTACCTTGCACACGAACAATTCTGTTCACTATGTATTTTTATTGCCATTTCACGTTTACCGCTCATCACCATACAGTAGCGTTAACTTTGAAAAGTTATGCTGCGTATATTATGTTTGGTATTCTTTAGCACTTTGCTAGATTTGGTCAAAGCTCCAAAAAAGTTATATTGTGCCTTACTTCGCTGAAATAACTGCATAATCGTGTTACGTAAAGCTTAAGGATAACGGTTACGTTTAAGGCATTATAAGTGTTAGTCAGATACTCTCTAGAAAATCGGCAGAAATTAAGACTTAAGCTGTTAATAAAAATTTGTTAAGTAAATTTTTTTTTATAAATTTAATATGTAAATTATAATTTATGTAAAATGTCAAAATTTCCTTAAATAAAGTGCGCAGAAGGAAAAAAGCTTTTTGATCTTTTTTCTCTTTTAGTTTAAATTTTTTTAATTTTATTTTTTTCCTTATATCTGACTGTTGTAGAGCACGTCTGTGAACTGTATTATATATGTGTTTGTTTGTTTTTTTTTTTTTTGTCGTTTTAGTAAAATGCAAGAATACCAAAGAGAACATGAGGAGGCAGCGACGGATATATCTGTATATGTATCAAATCCTATAAATGCTTATTTGTTAACAAAACGTTTAACCACCGATTGGAGGCAAGTGGAAAATCTTATGGCGCACGATGTTGGAATAGGTAATTATACTTAAATCAAGCAGTCCGCACCTAATATATTTAATGAAGGATCGCACATAGATTTCTTAGATAACATAACAAATTATCGCAACGTACTGAAATTTCCTTCAGATGAGGATTTAAATGGTGCGGCGGTTGCATTAATGCGTTTACAGGACACATATAATTTGGACACGTCGAGTGTAGCTCGGGGTGAATTGAACGGCATACAATACAGGTACTAAGGCAAATATTACATATTTGTTCAACTCAAGTTGTGAAACGTAATTGATATGGAAATTCTCTTGTTGTTGTTGTTGTTGTTGTTGTTGTTGCAGTACTGAAATGTCTTCAGATGATTGCTTTGAATTGGGTCGCCAATCTTATGTAAATCATGATTATTATCATACGGTATTATGGATGAAAGAGGCCATGTCACGTATGAGAGAGGAGCCCAATAATAGAACGCAATCATTTACTAAAGCTGATGTTTTAGAATATTTAGCATTTTCCACTTACAAACAAGGTAAGAAGAAACATGAGATAATTTTAATTAATATAATTATTTCTTTATATTCGTGCGTTTAACAAAATTGAACATTTCAACACGAACACAATGTTATCGAGTCATGTTAGTCGTGTTACGATATACGCTTTCCTTAAGGACAAAATCATTAAACTGCTTATGTCTACATATATTTGCTAATTGGAACTTTAAACGTTTTGTAAATGTTTGTGATGTTTGGGTAAATCATAAACTGGTTTTGAGAAAATCAAAAAAAAAAAAAAAAAAAAAAAAAATCTACAAATACAAATGGCAATTCTTGTTACGTTGGTGAAAGATGCATTTCAGGGGTTTAAGTGAACTAATATCCAAAAATGACGTGAAACTGACACATTAAGAAGTAAAGAGCTTATGAAACTGTTGCTAACAGCGCAGAGCACCTGGGAAATTTAAAAATGCATGTGCACATGAGGGCAGAAAGTCAAATACGTAATCTTTTTTTATTTTGCATTCTCCTCTTCATTGCTCTGCTATATTATTCTCATATTCAGGTATATGTAAATATTTGGGTGCGTGTGTATGTAGTTTGAAAAGTTTTCCAGATTTAAGTTTAGCCTTTTTTTGCACAAAATCAGATCAAAGCTAGACTTTCCTCTGGAGAATTTGTAATGGAAGGACGGACATATACATGTACATATGTATATGATATTTAACCTACATAAGCCCAGATTGTGGTTTAGTTTAACTTTAGAACTATAACATTTATTGTTTAACTTTACATGCAAAATTATTATATTTTCATACTCTCATTGAGACGAATGGGAAACTAATAGACTTTGTGGGAGCACCTCAGGTCAACATTATAACAATTGTCGAACCATTGTTTCGTTAGTCGGCCGTATTGCAATTTCTTGACAGGGACCATTCTTACATTACATAAGCAGATAACCATGAGAAATATATGCATTGAAATTTACTACAAATTCGAAGTTGCAGTCATGTCTTCGTACCAATTTTTAGATCAATACCCCAAATAGGATTAAGTTGCAGCTTTTACGGTTCTTAAAGACAACCGACGTTCGTCTTCGAACTTGACCTGCAGACAATTATCACCGATTCGATATATGACCTAAATTTTATTAACTTTTTAACAGGAGGTATACTTAGTCCGAATATCTATTTGTGGAGAAATCTGGGCTATCCCCAAACATGGAAAAGATAAAAGTGAAGGAAATGAGGTTATAATTGTGCGGCGCGAACATACGACTATGCAAAGCTTATAATTCTCAATTTACTACGCACTACAGTATATAATCTACATAATTGTTCACTTTCTCACTTGTTCGATATCAAGTTTATTTGTGTGTGCGAGAATCTCTCTCTTTTCTTTCTAAATCGCAACATAGTACAACTACTTTATATATATATATATTTACAAAGAATATTTACAACATCAACTTAGCTTTTGCTCTCATGTATTAGCTAAAGGGCGACAATCTTATTCAACATATGTAGGAGCCGATGGTTCCAAACTAATATTGTCGTTAGGTGACTTTGCGGTGAAATGTCGTTCATCTGAAGGCAGGATATCGGCGCTTTGCTTTCTCAAGTTCATTGCATAACGACTGAACGTGTATTCATGATCGTCTATGTCATTGTCGGCTATCTCCTTTTTACCATTTGCTGTGTTATGATTGTACTTGTGCTTTACTAATTCATAGGCACAGTCATAAAGGAAAGTGTATTGTGTTAAAGTTTGCACCATTTTCATGCGTTGAAAACGTAATTTTTTTACAGTTTCGTAAATATTGATTTTCGACTCGTTTTTAAGGCGTTGCATTATGATATCCAGGCCAATATAAGTTCCAGTTCGTCCCACACCGGCACTGCAGTGTACAACAATTGGTGAATAGCTTGGTTTTTTTTCGCTTTTCACTTTGCGTACGAAATTAATTAAATACATCGGATCGATTGGGCAACCATGATCGGGCCATTTTTTAAAATAGAAATGTACAACTTTTTGTTTTAAACCAAAAGTTTCATGAGTAACCGATAATTCGGTCCGATCGTATATATCGAAGGATTCCTTCTTCTTGATTACCACATTAATACCTTTGAATTTAAAAGGAAAGTACTCATGGCATTTAATCTAAAATGAATTCGAATTTTTAAAATGCAAAGGACTAAGTAATTCATATATTATTCGTTATACCACATCTCCTTCTCGAAATTGTGTGACCATAACTATTATTCGTACGTTATGTTGTAAGACCATACGCCAAAAATCTTTGATGCTTTCCGATTTTGGACCCTGCGTTGCTATATACTCCTTTCGTCTCCTATAGCCCTAAAAATATTAATATTAATATTAAAAAAAAATTGACAAAACCGTTTCTTATAACTTCAACATTATATGCGTAACCGACTTACATCTATAAAAGAAGCATTTATATAATCCGATCCATCCGCATCGATATCTAAGATAACACGATTTTTATCATCTGAAAGCCGGATTAATCAAGTATTTGTATTCGGTGAACTCATTAAATATTCATTTTTACGTACATGGAAAAATGTCAGCGTAACGATTTTTATTACCACCCATCTCTGAAGCGGCATAGCTTAAATCTATTGCTACAGCTGTAAGTTCCTTAAATTCTCTTGCTAGCTTATCGGCCTTCGATATTTCGCGATAATAAATTGCAAAATTTTTCTCAACCACATCACCGACTGAGTCCTCTAAGCCATGACAAGATTCCCTTTGCCTGCAATTTTAAAAACTACATGGAGATCTATTCATAGATACATTGTCGTTGAGCTCTTTTACCATTTTATACGTTTAGTAATCCAATAATAAATAAGACCCGCTACTAAGGCTAGAATTAAACAAGATGACACGCTTACTAAGATGATAACTAATTCGATAAGCGCCTCTGTCCGAAATGTCAGTACACCTGCGTCGTTATAACCGGATTTGGTGAAGAGGCGTACAACTAAATTATATTCCGTATCTATAAAATGTTATAGAAAAATAATATGAAAAATTATGCAGCAATAGAATCATTGTCTAGCATTACCTGGTCTAAGTGGTCCGTTGCAATATTTTTTGGAAGAAGTTTCACAATTTTCAAGACCGATAACAAACTCTACCATGTCCACGGACCGATATTGATTTACGTTCGGTTCCCAACGTAACGGTGTAGTTTGATATTGTGCAATACATGCCTTATTTTGGTCACCGTTTGCCTCACTCCACGAAGGAATGTCCGGCCATTCTTCAATTGTGTTCATTGCTGCACATTTTAATTCGGGTCCCTCATCACAGTCCTAAGAAATTCATAAGCGAAATGAAAATTCATCTCAATAAAGGTTTAATAAAAATGAAAACTACTTTCTGCGACAGAAGCAAAGCCACGTAGATAATTGTTCCAAGATCGTCATTTAAAATATCGGTTGGAAGTCGTACAGCCACACTTTTTGCTGGATGATTACCGGAAACAGCTTCAATACGAGATTTTCCAACTGTCTCGGCATTCAAACGTTGCGGTACTGAAATCAAAAAATATATTTATATGCGTTCGGATAAAGTGATAGAAAGACATATATGTACTTCCTGCTGGTGCTTCGAAGGTATGGTTAACTGGCTCACTGAATTCGTCAACCGATTTAATTTTAACTGACACCCTTACAGTGTAGGTATATTGAGGCGCCAAATTTGTTTCGTTGTGCAAAAAACTACCTTTTTTGCTAAAATCAGGTTTCACCTTTCGCGTGAAGCCTAAAAAATCATATCCGGGCCTTTCTCCTATAAACTCTAATAGAAAATGTTCAACTTCTCCATTTGATTTGCAGGACATGTTCCAAGCTATTAAAGCATTTGCATGATATTCCGCATCCCATTCCAATGGCCCTTCAGGTTTTGCTTTCAAACCGATTACAGGATCTGAAACCCCAGGCTTGGTAACCATCGTATAGGGTCTCGTATATTCACCAATGCCAAATTCGTTTTGAGCAGCTACCTGAATGCTGTATCTTGTATATGGCGTCAATTCATCAAAAATTTGCTCTAAACCTGATGTTTCTCTGGTAATCGATTCAGTTGTAATCTGTTTACAGTTCTCAGCGGGTATGTAGAAAGCTGCTTCAACTCGTTGAAAATGTGATACATACAACTTGATATTACCGTTGGCATATTTGGGTTGATTCCAACTAAATCCTAACGAATGATTGCTGTGTGTTTTTAAACTCAATTTTTCAGGTGGATCTGGATCTGGAATTTTTAATTTTTATTCTTAATAAAGTGAAATTAGAAATATTGTAGGCGGTAAATTATTTACAATAAGGTTCTGTGCGCTTGATCACAGTTTTATTATGTGACCATCCGGCGACATTGAAAAGACTCACACTGCATATATAGTCTATAAAAGGGGATAAAGGACCCACTGCCGTATTGTAAATGATTCCCATTCGGCCCTCAACGTAGATCTCAGCAAACTAAAACGATGCATTTAAATCGTTAAAATTGTCTCTATCCATAACATGTAACAAAAAAAATTGGATCTACATCGGAAAGCATACCTTATGTCGTGCCTCGTGGCGCGCTTCGCAAACGAAACGTGCGAATATTGTTTCACATTTATTATTCAAATCGGATTCTTGAGCACTAAATTCTAAACGGTTCGGGTATACGCTCGTAGTCTCAACGGTAGGCGGCTGAGCTCTTATCGGAGTTGTTCTAGCTTCGACATGCGTCAGATCGCCATCAGACGTTTTCGTAGTCGGTATTATTTGCACAGTGAAACCCTGGCACGAGTTTAAACCGTCAATTGTAACGCTGGTGTTCTCTGTTGTTTTATCGAATGCAGGTACAGGTTTTTTTTCATCGTTCCAACCAGACAGACGATAGCCGGTTAGGCACAGATCTGCATACGCTGGAGCCATCCATGAGAGTAAGAGTCTATGTGGTTCGGCCGCGGCGAAGGGACTAAGTATCTCACTTGGTCCTAAATTAAGATAAACGTAGTAAATTTTAGGTAAAATTTTGTGTCAAGAACGTACTTCCTTCGAGTGTTGTAAATTGAGTGTCTACTGGATAGCCTTTGGTACCGTTTTTGGTTTGTGGTACAATAGAAACATTATATTTTCCACATGGATCCAATCGTTCAAAGACCGCTTCAGTCTGATTAGTGGTTAACTTAAATCTTTCTTGAAGATCGTCGGAACGTTGTGCTGGTCCCACAATTTCTACTTGATATAGTTCTACACAGTTATGATGCGTTGTTGCGTTTTGCCATGCAACAATTGCTGCTGTTTCCCCAGGCGATATATATTTTATAATAACTGGTCCTGGAACTAATTAAAAATGGAATTTTTACTAAAATTCTAAATAAACTGCGGAAATTGAAATCAAACCTTGCTCGTCGGAGATGAAAGATGAGGCACCTATTAGGTCTCTATCGTTATTAATAAACACTTCAAGGGTATAATTCTCACAACCTTGTAGATTTGTTAGGACATACTCGTTCGCAGTTATGTCAGTCAAATTAAAAGACCACTCACACTGTTCACCTGAACGCAAAGTTTAATACGGCAAAATCTGTACAGCAAACGATAAATTTTTTTTAATCTAAAATACTTACTCGGAGGAATGGTAGTTTCAGTAAAGACCACAATATCGTCAGTCTTAGCAGCAGTTTGCGGACATGTTTGTAAGGACCACTTTAGATAATAATATTCAATGCAAGTCCAATGTGAGGGAGGCTTCCAAAATGCCTTAATTTGCCCATTATCAAATGCCATGAAATTCAGTATAATCGAACCGGGTGCTGAAATCTATCTCATTACAATATAACATCTTTTGTGAAACAATTGCTGACTACTTGCCAAGATAACGAGTTGAACTATTGAGTTTCTCATTGCCAATTGCGACTTTCCCTATATCAAATGTTTTCAATTGTATATTATATTGCGAGCACGGAAGTAAATTAGTCATTAGTAAGAAGGTTTTATCATTAGTTAAAGTCCATTGAAAATCCTTCTCTTGCGATTTAGCCTCTATTTCATAAGTCGATATACAAGTTGGATTTTTTGAATACCAATAGAGAATTATAGATTCAGCATAGGGTTCAGCGGAAAGTATTGTAACTTCGGGTACTTGAAAATGTAATTAAAACAAAACAAAAAAAAAAAAAAAATTGTAATAATTAAGAATAAATTGCGACAATTTTAATACAGATCGATCGTTCACCTAAATACTTAGTTCTAACTTCTTCGGTCTGCTCTTCGATAACATCTTCATCCTTATGAAGAATTTTAATACTTAACAAAGCGAGATAAGTACAGCAGGGTTTCAACTTATTACTATAAGTAAAAGAAATTGATAAAATTACAAAACTTCGTTACCCGTTAAGTAAAGTAAGTAAAAAGTTTCTATTATCATACCAAACGTGCTCGTCATCGGCTTGTGTTACACTATTGTTAATGATGTTCTTGCAAGTTATATTTACAAATTCATAGCTTTGAGTATCAACTAAGGAAAATTTGATGCTATTTGCTGTCGCTTCAATTTGTACGTCAACTCTTTCTAAATATATAGATATCTGAGAAAATTAATAATTGGCAGCAACAACAAAATCATTATAAAAAAATTTACCCGTATTTTCTCCGACTTTCTCTACGGCTTGAAGTGTTTGCGATTCATAACAATTTAATAAAACGAAAATCAAAAATAAAATGATTTTTGCCTGGAGATGGATGGGAGGAGGACAAAATTTCCAAATGTTTTGCAAATACAGATCGTAATGCATTTTAACTACAATATGTCAAGATAAATGATTTAATAATTGTTCGTTGATTCAAAATCTTGTGTTATGTTCTTTTCCTTTTCTTTTCATTTCTTTTTTTTTTTTTCTTTTTTAATTAATTTTTTGAAGGCGTTTTTAGCCTCTATCCCATCTACCCTCACTTTTGCTATTAGTTTCAAGATTATTTATTTTTATTGGTTGTTAAGTTGAAAAAAAAAAACGAAATAATGACTGCACAAACTTGTAAACAAGAAATTCAATAACTTCAAAATCATTTGATTGATTTTCACCGAAAAATGATTACTCATAAAACGTACTACTGTGCCAAAAATGTAAGACCTTCTTTTCGGTAGAGTTTTTAATTAATAAATAGATGGCCTTGGACGCTAGTGCTTGAAGGCTTTAATCTTCAAATTTATTTCTCTGGCTAAACAATAACAATAAATCTATTCGCCGAAGTAATCCTTATTAGCAGTTTATCGCGATGGAGGAAATGCATAGAGCGCAACACTAAACCTAAGCTAAAAGTAAACTTTTAACATGACCTTGATTTTCAAACGACTTTGCGGCACGCATTATATGTAAAGTGGTTGGGAAAGTAGTTCGATTCGCATCGTTTTCAATAGCATTCGTCCTTGGATCAAAATATATCGATGTACTAAATTTCAAGAGTGTAAATGGATTGGTCTCGAGTCTTTCTGGACTGATCGGACAATAACAAAGTTAAACAATGCAAACTTTCCGTCTATGCTGACGGTCCCATATATTTCTATTCAATTCGGTCAATAGGTACGAAGGATCGCAACTAAGTAGCCATTTTAATAAACATAATGCAGTCCTCAAGAAAAACGTTTATATCAAGTCTTCATTCTTAATCAAGTCTAAAATGTTTTTTTAATATTATTGGTTGAAGACTAAAAAGTAGAAATAGTAAATAAAATGTAAAAAAAACTTCAAGATCACGTAAAACTTCTACTTTTGCACTTTCTTTATCTGTATCGTTCGCTCTTTCTTCTTATTCCCCTTTCCACAACCTCTCCTTTCTTATCTCTTTTGTCTTCCGTCTTTCACTCTCCTTCGCAAATACCCCGAAACGCTTACATTAACCGTCGGTACACAGAATCTTCGAACCAACCATCTCAGTGTGCGGAGATATGAATGCGTTTCAACCAAAAAAAAAAAAAAAAAAAGAAAAAAAAAATGTATCTTGGATTAGCACTAGGTAGCAAATCAAAATCTCAATCTGAAGACAATTCAAACTGATTTGACAAATGTTACCCACACACTGCAAAGCTTCGAAGTGCGCCGTGTAGAATGATGTTTAAGTAAAAGTGTTATGAAGTTTTACGAAATATTTTCATAAAATTTCAAATCTCCCATTGCTACGCATTTGCGATTTTATAATTACGAATATCTATATGGAAAGGGGAAAAAAATATATCTCTGTTGCGTTATTGCATAATTGTTATGAACTTAAACCTTTTTATTCATTATTTATAGATTTTATTTTACTGTCAAGCACTTTGATCTCTTTATTAACAATATCTTATGCAAGATTATCCCACATGTTGTTCTTTTCGTTATAGAGTAAAATAATCTTTGTCTTATTCACTTTTAGCCAATGTTATCACTTTTCATGGGATTAAAATTTTTTTTTTTTTTTTTTTTATTAATTGATTGAAGTCCCGACACATATTAAATAAGACATGTAGTGCTTTGATTAACTAACAAAACAATAACTGTTTTGAGGAGAATTCAATTTCCCTTCCATTCATCGTTAACATTTCATTATCATTTCTTTTGATTACATATATATACATATATAGATGTATGTATTCCACTTGAAGTGTTCTTATCAAGCGAAGCATTTTTGAGTTTCGATAAACCAAAATAAATAAAAAAGAAGTGTTACTATTGCTGCACGAGGTAGGAAATGAAAGTTGTTTGCACACTAACCGTAAATATTATGCATTTTGACTGTGAGTAAAGTTTTTCGAATATATCCGCACCTTTTCGAATCAAGAGCACGATTATTAATAAAAAAAAAAAAAAAAAAAAAAAAAAAACAATAGCAGTAGAATACAAAGAATCTTACAACTTGAATAATTCATAGTTTTTTTAATTTTCGTGAAACACATTCGCATTCGAAACGTATTGAATTATTGCATTAGCAAGCAAAAACAAATGTTCATTATAAAAATTTTTCAAAGAAATTCAAAATTACTTTTACATATACGAATGCACAAATTTATGAATTTATTCATTAAAAGATTAAAAATTCGCCATATTCACAGTAACGAGAGGAAGAAACAAAGTAACGGAGCTATGACTATATCATACCGCTCATAAACTTCTTGTTTTAAAAATGAAAGTACAATTTTTCAGTGACTTTTTAATTCGTTTACTATAAACAAACATTATATTCGTCATTACTTTGAAATCAATAAAGTACGAATTTATAATACGGCCGCATGTCGACAAGACGGGCGGGACGGGGAACATTCCAGCAACAATGTGTTTTGACTGCTGCCAATGTCATCAGGCTGTCAATTTACTATTGCATGATAACCTTCCATTGAATTAACATCAGTCGTAAATGTCTTGACCGTCTTTAAAGTCCTAACTGCGATTGTCTTATCTGCCAATAAAAAACAAAAAAAATAAATAAAAACTTTAATTAGACGGTTTAGCTTAATTGTGTTCTATTGGAGTTGAATGCAAAGGCAATGTGCGATGGCGAACTCTTTTTTCACCACCATCCTCTCGTAGAACGTGTCGCTTGCTGTGCGTGTTGCCTCTTATTTTCTATCTTACTTTTGCTTACTATACTACAATTAAGAATTTCGAATCGTTAACTCGCTTATGGTGTTTATTAATTTTTTTGCGTACGAACCATGAGACAGACATTCGTCATAGTTTTCTCAACATTACATGATTTGGTATGGTATGGACTCTTAACGCTTTGATATCGCACCACAATGGGCATAAAGATTTTATTTGATATCTTACAACCTGAAGAGGATTTTCGAGTTAAAGCAAGGAAGGCTCTTTTGGTTCGGACCATAGTAAGAAACAAAGTTACAATTCAAAGAACATTCGTCATAGCTTGTTTAACATGATTAAACTTAGTGAGGTAGAATCATTTACGCTATTCCCATGATGCTATTCATCAATATCTGTCAACATTTTATTTGCTATCTTCTAATCCGAAGTTAATTTTCAAGGTACTGCAAGGAAGGTTGTTCAATGGTTCAATGCGAAATCCGAAAGAAAGCTATAATTTAAGAAAATTCTCTATTTTCAAATGGATTCAATTGAAAGCGCGGTTAAAAGCCATTGTTTCGTTTCATTTACGTAAGCAGAATGAGAAAATATTTTATTTGCATTGACACAATAAACAGGAGAGGCATAGCTACTTATAGCTATCATCGTTATGTCGTCAGCAGTGAGCGTGCGCTGAGCAAGTCGACGATTGTGTACTATTGGACTCATAGTCGGCTAACACCTTCTTCAAGTCACTCCACAGACCGCAAAGTTACATTCATAATATTCGCTCATATCCTCCTAGACTCCTTACATTTTACGAGTATATTAGTAAAAAGTTATTATTTCGATCGTACAACAATACTAAATATGTTTGTTGCGGTTCTTAAAACAATTCAATTTTACTTTAACGTGATTGAGATCAAAGCAAAAGACTTTCACGGGTAGCCGTGAAGCATCTTGTGTGTAAATTCAAGCCATTCTTGTGTTTGCATAATATTTTCTTATGACATTGTGGCACAAACCAATGCTTTCAAGAACTAAATAAAAGTCGTTCAGTACATCTAGCAGAGAATAGGCCCAAATAAATGGCACAAAACTAAAACTCACTCTTTGTTACCTTCAAAAATAGAGATCCTTTACTACATTGCATGCCGACTTCATTGAATATGCATTGCGTCATTTCTCCGGGAATGAGGATATTCCAAAAATAATTTCCATTACCATGAAGTATGTCTTGTTGTTCCCCGCATAATCCCCCTAAGAGTTTGCTGCAAATATAATAACAGCCTCTATATAACACAAAAATTATTTCATGCCAACAACAATTTAGCCGATAAAAATCTTTATGGTTCTTTTCTCAAAAAACATTTCAAAGCGTATAGAATTACAAAAGATCGCAATCCCTGTTAAATTTGTTTTCTCTTCAACACATTTTGCTATGCCGTCTCATTATAGTGAGTGTATAGTGTTATAATATTGTTGAAAACGTTTATAACAACAAAGTATGCGAATAATGAAATCGGTTCCTATATAACAGACCCATATAAATAAATAATGTACTACTAATTGAGAATCAAGTGGTTATGAAGGGCTTGTAATTTGAAAATTCGAATTTGTAAAGTAGTGTACAGGTATGGGTGTGGGTTCTTCTTCTTTTCTTTGTTGCGCTTACAATTCCACGGGCAATACATTTGTTTGCTGATTTAACACTCTACACTTTCTTTATGTTTATTATGCATTTCAAGGTAATGTGGAGACGGCACTATTAATGACGAACGAGCTACTTCAACTGATACCGAATCATGAACGTGCTAATGGGAATAAAGTTTACTATGAAAAAGAATTGAAAGAAATAACCATGAAAAAGAGGGTGAAAGGAGACGACGGTTCTGACGATACGCCCAAGTCTGACTTGGTATGAGCATGCACAAATTGACGAAACAATTTTTACTTTTCACACATTCTTCTTCTTCTTTTTTTTTTAAATCTATATATGTATATTTAGCCTATCTCTAAAGCTGAACCAGCCGTGTTCGATTACAGTGAACGCAAAACTTATGAGTTATTATGTCAGGGTAAACTTAAGCCCACATCGGCTCAGTTAAGATCGTTAAGTTGTCGTTATGTCACAAATGAGGTGCCATTTTTGAAAATTGGTCCCTTCAAATTGGAAGAAGCTTCAAAGGATCCTTACATTGTTATCTATCACGATGCCATGTATGATAGTGAAATTGAAATTGTCAAGCGAATGGCAAAGCCTCGTTTTCGGCGGGCCACTGTACAAAATGCGATAACTGGTGAATTGGAAACGGCGAATTATCGGATCAGTAAGTCGGCTTGGTTGAAAACCGAGGAACACTCGATTATAGCCAACATTGTGCAACGTACCGAAGATATGACTGGTTTGGATATGTTATCAGCCGAAGAGTTGCAAGTAGTTAATTACGGTATTGGTGGCCATTATGAACCACATTTTGATTTCGCTAGGGTACGATTACATATACATATACATATAGTTTTGTAAGCAATGGCGCATAATTTTTATTGTTTTCTTTCTGTGTTTTGAAAATATTGCATTAGCGTGAAGAAGTGAAAGCTTTTCAAGGCTTAAATACCGGCAATCGGATAGCAACGGTATTATTTTATGTAAGTTAGTTAGTTCTTAAATTTTTCTCTTCTCATTTTTGTATTTCTCATTTTCTGCATTTTGCCTCGACTAGATGAGCGATGTAGAACAAGGGGGAGCTACCGTTTTCACTGCTATTAATATTGCCTTGCGCCCAAGAAAAGGTACGGCCGCATTCTGGTTTAATTTACATAAATCGGGGGAGGGAGATTATAGAACGCGTCATGCTGCCTGCCCAGTACTTACTGGCTCTAAGTGGGGTAAGACGTCGAAATTTTTCTAAAATGCATCATAATCTTTTTTAATATCTTTCATTACTTTCCTGGTCTTTTTTTTTATAAAGTTTCCAATAAATGGATACATGAACGCCGTCAGGAATTTCGTCGTCCTTGCGGTTTGGAGCCCGATCATGGCGAATTCGCCATATAGTGCAATAAAAAATGTTATCGATTAACTTTGGAGATACATTTAACGCGTGTTCTAATGCTCCTTAAATCTTTGTTGCCTATATTTTACTTTTTTCCTATATTCTTCCTATATGTTATGTGCAACAGTTGCTTAAGCAAAGATAAGATATAAGAAGTAAATCTTTTTTTTTTTTTTTTTTTTTTTTTAATTTTTTAAATTATTTTTTGAAATTTTTTTTTTAAAAATTTTTTTTATTAAAAATAATATATAATAATTAAATATTTTTTTTTTTTTTTTTTTTTTTTTAATATTATGAATTCTATATTGGAATTATATTGTTACCAAAATTTTTTTAAATAAAATTTTTATAATAATTTATATGCCTATTAAGTGATTGATTCAAGTGAAAAGATGAGAAAATAAATTGTTGCATGTATAATCAATGTTTATTCTTAACACTGCATTTTTGAAAAATTCAAGGTAACCTATACGTAGCTTTTCTTATGTTTACTGCATTTTTCCCTTTGTTATTAAACGTTAAGTTTGTCGTTTCTTTCTAGAGAAAAATATCCCTTTTTCCATGCTTCAGCTATATTCGAAATATCGCAGATTGACTGACGATTTAAAAAGTCAAATTTCTCCTCTCTCTCCTTGCGTGCATGTTCCTTATATATCTATATATTTCTCAGATCTATATCTATAAATGAAATGAAGTACAATGCGCTTGATTTTGATTATTCTTTATTTACATCCTTACAACTCCTTACTCCCCGGCCCTTTTCATTTTATTCACATCGTGTAATTCATACCAAGTTTCCTATCAAAAGAGTAAAATTGTATCTGTTCCCGTTGCTGTTTCTCTTGTAAATTACAAAAAAAACAACATTTTAACTCGGTGTTCTTGATTGGAATATGTTCGTATGTGACATGATTGTAGTTAAAAATCGAAAACTTTTCAATTAACTTTAATAATATAGGTAACCATTTTCCTGGTTCTATGTTCGTTCGTTTACAAGCAAACATTTAAAAATAGCAACAGTTGGTACTCTTTATATATATATTGGTAGTAACCTATGAAAACATTATCACATACATATGTACAACACAATACTTATATATGTACTTATATACTTGTATAGAACACTTTCCACTTGTACGTACAAACATACATGCATACATTATGAGGAATTTGCTAACAAACTGTTCATTCATCCAAGACAATGTTAACACTTGATTGATGCCTACTCAGCCAATACCTATCTCATACAAAATATATCATCACGAAAATATATATTTAAAATGTGAATGTAAAACGAAATTGCCACCTCATACGACGAAACAATTCGTGTTTATTCATTCACATGTACAGATCCCACTTGCAACTAATCAATCATGAATAAAGTATATCCAGGCTTAAGGTAGTATACATACATAACTTTGGAACGAATACTCGTCATTCACGATAAAGCGCTTAATTTTCTGTTAATTTGGGCGAGCAATTGAGCAGAGTGATTTATAGAGAAGCTATTTACTGATTTTTTTTTTCCCGTTTTTTTTTTTTTTTTTGTTTTGTTTTTTTTCGGTGTATTAAGTTCTCGAGGCAAATAGGCCGAAATTTTCATTTTGTTTAAAGGATTAGACATTTAACGCATTTACCGCGTAATGGTCACGGCATCTACAGCATTGGTATTAGAAGCGGTTCGCCCTCATATGTCAACTTTGTAATTGACAGAATTCCGGTGATAAATATGTTGCAAGGAATGAATTCTACACCTTGTGTATAATATTTACAAAAAGGATAAGGAGATATTAAACTCTCTTTCTTCACAAAGAAAAGAACTTTTTCGCTTTCATTTTCGCTTTCTCTCACTTTTTCTGCAATAATTCATGTGTGTGTGTGCGTGTGTGTTGAGAAAATTTTTCATTTCTATGCATGTGGTTTAGAAAGCCTTTAATGATAAACATGGAATAATGGTAACATGATAGACAGTTGATAAATGTCTTGTGTTCCTTCCATTTCCATGTTTTTAAGACTCATGCACTTAACTTACTATAGCTTTGCTCGTTTATGCAATATAAATAGCAACAATAATTTTCGATTAATCGACAGCAGTGGGCATAAACCTTATTCTAAAATAATTTTACTCTCGCCACAGAAAGCAATTCACAATCATATACATACACATGTGTTTATATATAGAAACATATATCGATATTTTTCATTCTTATTATTAAATGGATACAAGTTACTTTAGTAAGAGAAAATTGAATTATTCCCTACTTAACGGGCCCTGTCGATTTGTTGAAAGAAAGAAAGCAGCTATGGTACATATATAAATATTTTCATAAGGTATGTTAAGGCCACAATTTCATATGATGTTAGAACAAAAATATTTGTTTGCAATGATAAATTGCAAACAAATAATTTGAGAAAAAAAGATTGGAAATCATTGATTGTTCGCTTAGAAGACCATTACAAGTCGATTACTTGTTATAAATTTTGTTCAGAAAATTTTGTAATGGTATGAAAATTTCAGGGCTGAATGGAAAAAAATTACACAAACTATGCCTGACATAAAGTTTAAGAAAGCATGTATTTCTTTAATTAAATAGTTTTATAATCAAATATTTTATCACTAATGGAATGCAACAAGAAACAACCAACAACTTTAAGTTGGTCTACGTCGAAGCTACATTTCTATATTGATTCAACATTTTTTCTCCGTATTAATCCAAGAGATGGATATATTTTCTTCGATATGCACACGAAATACGAATATAGGCGCTCTTTGTTCGTTAATAGTCAATTATCATATTGAACGAGACTAATGTAATAGGCAAGGCATTAAGGTCACAGCCATGGTTCGAGCGATTCGATTAGAGAAGCGGATAGATATGATGATTCCCTTACTTATTTGGACCAACTATATGTTACGAAAGTCCGATGTACTTACTTAGATGTCCGTCGGAATGCTTTGATTTAAGGGTCTTAAGAGATATCAACAGATTTATCTTTGTAATTGTGGTATCATATGTAGAAAGGCAGATAGGTATGATGATCCCTTACTCATTCTGATGAACAATATGTTAGGAGATTCCAGTGTACTTACTTACTCAGATATCCATCGGATGGCTTTGATTTAATAGTCTAAAGAAATATATATGAACAGTTTTATGTATATAATTAATAAGGTATCAAAAGCATTGTCATCAGCTATGTATTTGTCGAATGATGAGTCAAAACTTTCTTGAAAAATGTATTTATTTCGGTTTGATTTATACTTTTACGCGTTGCCTATAGATTGATAAATGTAATCCACCTTTTATTTTAATGAATATAAAAATGAATCAAATATGCTAATGTACGACATTAGTAAAAAGCACGTTTTCGTTCATAAAAAGATTGTATAAATATCGTTAATTAATTTATGACCCAACAGAAAAGATCTTGTTCATTATCTTTTCAAGGAAATATTCAAGACGATGGGATGTTATAGCTTAGAGATTGGAATATATATACTAAGCGACCTATTAATGATTTTAATATCTTTTGCTTATGTATTAATGTTACGAAGGCACAAACTACATATATATGAAAACAATTAAGATATTATGGTCGGCCCCGATTGATCATTACAATCACTTCGCTTCATACAATTATTTATAACGTTTTACATTTTTTCATATAACAGTCTTTCAAAATACAACAATTTATATATATATGGAAAGTGATCAGACTAGAAATATTTTCAATAAGGTTGATCCTTTGTTTCACCCCAAATTTAATCGAAATATCTCAATAATGCAGCAGGTTGAACACGAAAATACTAGACGCATAGGCAGGAGAGACAAGCCTACCCCGAAGTGCATTCTGAATCGAGGTGAGTTTTTCCGCCTGTCTGCCAAGCAGAATCCAATTTCTGAAACGAGCCGAGTTTGTCGGTCGGCATGTCCATGTATTTTTGTGCTCAGCCAGACGCAAAACGCTAAAGCCGTGCCTTAAGTCTTTCTGGCTTCTATATATATCCCATCAAACTTAATATATCATGTACTCCAATTGATGTAGGGTATAATTATAATTTATCACACAACAACAAATTTTTGACATTCAGTAAAAATGGAAAGATTACTAAGACGTATAGAAAGATAAAGGCTTAAGCTTGCTTCTCATATCGCGCACTATTAGATTTGGTCTCCTATTAGAGACCCAGAGGATATTTATTATTGATCAACATAAAATATGGTAATGGTATAGTTTTCATTTTTGAAAAGTCGAAGGTCGCCTAAAATTAAAGCAAGACGCTAAAACTTATCGAATATATTGTCAGTCCATGACAGAAAGTTTCGTTTGAAACTGACCGTGGAGATGAAAAAAGGTAAAAAAGCGAAGATTGGATGAAAATGATTTACTAACAAATATGCCGACCATAACTAAAGTAAAGTAGCTATAAAAGGTATATTGCTTTAAAATCTGGTAGAAATGTTTCTCACCGCCCCAGCTAACAGTGTCAATCGAACAATTCTTATGGCCACTTTTAGCAGAATATTTTGTAATCCTAATGCGTCACGTTCAAGTGATGAGAATCAAAGATTTGCTCTTATGGAAAGACAATTTTCTTAATTGCTCGAAATAATTAATTTTAAACATATGCAATTTTAGCCAAATGTATCAATTTCTCACGGACAAGGTGTTAATAACACTTATTAGATATTACTCAGGTGTTCGTAACACGACGACACGATTAGTCAAACGGAGAAAAAGTGATAATATTCTTAGTTCACAATATATATATATATATATATATATTGTTTAATGGTATGTCATTCATTTTTTTTCTTTCATCCAAAACGTACGTAAAACTCGTTCGGATGCTTACCTTGTTAATGTAATATTTAAGATGCATTTTTATTTCCTATTAAATGATGCATGCAATCGTAAAATGCGTTTCACAAGAATTTCATCGCTGCTTAGGATATTTATATTTGATTGTTTTACAAGATTAGTTAAAAGATTCGTTTCGCATTTTCTTAAAAAGAATTTTCTACGCATAATTACATCACTGACTGCATAGTCTATATGATGATTTCTTTCATTCTATCATTTTATCATAATTTTATATAACAAGATTAAATTCATATTAACTATTCAATATTATTATTTACGGTCAACTTTGCTTCCGCAGAGAACGCAATCAGCTCAGTGGAGGATAGAATTCAAATACAATAGAAAATGTATGCATTTATAAAAGATCAAGGAAAAAATCAGTGGCATTTTTTAAACAAAACTAAAGGACATTTTCATATTCAATTTTAATTGGACTTTATTTAGTGAAATGCGTGTCATTTATCATTTTTATGGTAAAGTCATTGCGTCATTATTTTAGAAATTTTGAGATTTCGGCGCGGAAAACTGAATCGAGTGAGACCTCTTTTGAAGCCAGCTATACATTGTTAAAAGATTGCTGCGGGGATGAGCAAAAAAAGAGAAAGTAGGCGAGGCAGGGCCCGAGCTATACGATAGTTGAATCAACACTTCTCAGTTAAGCTCTGTCAATTTCATAATAATCTGGCATCGTCGGCTCACCTATTGAACGGATTAGTCACGGTCGAGTGAGGCATGATTCTCCACGGTCGTTGCCGTCATTTATGCATTTACTGCATGCATTAAAAGCACCATGAACTTTTTCCTCGACCAATTACTTAATGATTAATTGAAAGGTCAGAGTTAAAATGACTTGATATAAGTAATTGCGAGAAAATAAATTCAATTTCCGTTAATATCAACTCATTTCCGGTCAACATAAATATTTTATAACAGTAAATATGTAGCATAAATATATGAACGTATAGTTCTGGTAGTAGTGTTTAGTAGAATTTTATGACATGCAAGCTTTTCATGATTTCCAATGCATGATGACTTTTCCAATGCATTCTCATCACTGTCATCAAAAAGTTAATAATTATCCCTTTGGCGGATATATGACCTTCTGCCTATTATTTGTTGTTCTTAAAATGACTTTAAACAATTATTTTTTAAATCACATTTATTCAGTCATTAACGTTAGCTTTTGTCTAACTTAGTATGTATTTCAATTATAATTAATTTATAGATTTATGTTCTTAAAGCTGCAAAATGTAAAAGTCATCAGCAGTATGTGCGTGCGAGTTATGAATGAAAAGATGACAAAGGATATTCCATTATTGCTATTATTACTTAGCTGTTACATAAGGCAATGAAATTTCATGATCTTGATGCAAGGCGCAAGGTCTAATTAATTCTTGTCCGCCTTCATGGGTCCAAACATTGCCAACTGTAATGGGCGAGAGGAAATTTTATATTGAAAGAAAATATATTACGTTTTTCAAAACTTACTCCATTTAGAGCCTTTGAGCACTGGGCACGCACCATGTCGGGTACGGTAATCACCGTCTAAAGAACGGTGTAAATTGTACCAGAATAACACGCTGCCCTTTAATGGTTTGACAGCAAGTTTTAGGTAAGGGAATGCTGTCGCTCCTCCTTGCTCGACATCCGAAAGCTATTTATTTATTGGCAAAAATCTAAACTGAAATACAATTCTTTGACTCTTGTATCGTTACTTACGTAGAATATGGCAGTTGATATCCTATTGCCGGCTACTCGAGGCAAATGGGTCGGATATTGGAGTGGATCCTTTTGTTACGATTGCAAATTTTAGAGAATAAGGTTTTTTAGTTTTTTTTTTTTTTTTTAAATTTTACTTACTGCAAAAAAATCAACATGTGGCTCATAGTGACCACCCAGGCCATAATTAGCCACTTGCAAAGGTTCACTACACATCGTATCTAGGCCAGTGATATCGTGTAAGTCGCGCAACATTCTCAATAAAGACGGATGAGAATCATATGTCAGCCAGGCATTCTTACTGATACGATAATTGTGTTTTGCTCTTCCGTTTCCCGTTTTCGAAAATACAGTGGAGCGTACTAAGTGTGGCGAAGCAAATTTTTTTATGATTTCAATCGTCTCGTCCGTTAGGATATTATGAAATATTTTCACTTCGGGATCCAAATTGAGTTCTTCAACTTTGAAAGGTGCTAAACGGGAAAACTTATTGTTTTCATATACGTAAAAGCACCGTAGATCACGTTGCTCTCTTGGTGTTTTAGTCACTTCGCCGCGACAAATTTTTCCATAAATATTAAACTCAGCCGTTTTCTGCATTTGATATTTTCCATAAATTGAAAAAATAAATGGAAATATAACGTTACACTTACATGATATTTTGTTTCCCAAATATATCCATTATCACTGCCAGCGTAAGGGAGTGTTTCACTAGATTGAATCATTTCTTTTATTTTAAAAGAACCTTTGTCGTCTTCATTGTGTTTTGCTATAATTTTGTAAAGTTGCAAAGCAGTGTCCGTATCACCCAAACGTACCAAGTGTTCAGTGGGCTCTTGGAGAAAATCGGAAGGCAACAATTCAAGTTTATCCGGCTCTTGTTGTAAACGCTTAACTGATTCTTGCAACCAAAATTTGGTTTGATTATAAGCTTCCATGTGAAATAATTGTCGGCCCAGAACTAGGCAATCCGTCCAAGTCATATCATATCTAAGACAAAAGCATTAACAAATACTAACAATAATATAAATTATTTTTTGCAAATTTATTTGAAAGATTTTTTTTTTACCCATATTTTATACCATTTAATTTACCAGCGGCAATTTCCGGCACAGTTAACTGGTAAGTTTCCTGTAATCTGACTAAAGCTATGGCAGATTCCTCGAAATCTTCGAGCTGAGGAAAATGAAAATTTTTCCTCCTCTCATCCATTAATTTAAAGAAATCTTTTAGAGAATAATAAAAAAATTTAAAGCGTTTAGCTTGATTTACGCCAACTCCTATAACTTACTTATTACTTCAGCGATTTGCTCTTCGTACATCTCCCAGTCTACATATAATCTTTTCATTAACTTATAAGCATTCACCGGATTGGCCAAATAATTTTCCAAATTCTGCGACGCTAAGTCATGTTCTCTGGCAATTTTTGAAATTTCTCTAGAATTATAAGTAAAAATTGAAGTCAATTTTTCGACCTTCAAGATATACTTAAGATCTATTGTCGATATTTATTATCTATTTTCAACATTGATTATCTATTGTCGACCTGTAAGATCAGATGCCGTAAAGTTCGAATATTGTTAATAAGCTTAAGATTTTTGCTTAGTTTATATTTAGGATGTCCGTGAGTCAATAGCCTAAATTGTAATAGATGTACAAGTTCCGCGAACAAAATCGGGAAAAAGTATTTAGCAATTGAGAAAATTGTGACATCCCCCACACATACATAATTTCCATAAGAAAGGCATTTCAAGTCAAGACATTTCAAAAAAAATTAACTTTAAGTTTTAATCGCAACACATTCCCGATATATACAAGGAGAGAAATGGATGGACAAATAGACGGACATGTTCATCAAAAAATATATCATATCCAGGCCACAATGTAACAATTCCCGGCATCATGATAAAGCTGTCAGGGCATTCAGATGCGAAATAAACAAATTACGAACAATTACATATTAAATGGTGGAGGTGTGTGGCTATAAAGTCATAAATATGTTCTCTATCGGACTTTTTACAAATTACCAAGAATTTCTCTCTCTTTCAAAGTTATTTAATATGCAATGGCAGAGTGTGATAAATTTCGTTTAAGCTTCAAGTTAAGTCGCATGAAATCTTTTTGTTATTGAATTTTTTATTTGTTTTGATGTTCTTCTGTTTTCTACTACGTCGGTCTATAAGAGTTGTATCATTAATTTTTTAATATTTTATTATATGCATACTATAAGAATTCATATATTCGCTTTTTAATTGTGTGACATTTAATTTATAATAAAATGTTTAAACTGGATTTCTGAGTTATTAAATATTTCTAACCATAATAGACTTGAAAGATGCCTATTAACTGATAAAAAAAGAAAAGACTATAAATAGAATAAAGGTAAGCAAAATGTTTTCTTCTCCCTACAAACTGCCCCGATTATTATTCATGTGTAATTAAAATATTAAAATAAAGCAAAAAAGATTTAGATGAGATCTTTATTAGATTTAGTATCCAGGCTAACTGAAATTCTTCCCAAGGCGAAGTGAAGGTAAACGTTTGATATCATTTTCATTTTTATCTTTTTCTTAATGTTTTTATTAACGCGAAGAGTTTGTTTTTTTTTTTTTTTTTTTTTTTTCTTATTATTCACTTATCACTTGAATACTTTTTTATTGCTGTTAACATAATTTTCCCTAAACTCACTCACTTTTCTAAAAGATTAATTTGTTGCTTAGCTTTAAACACATAATCCTTTAGATCTATTAGCAGTGTTTGTTCGGTGTTCATTAAAGTCTCTAAGCCGTTAATTGATGTGAAATAATCATTATCATCTTCCGAGGAGTTTACGTGATTTCGGGTAAAGGCAAAAATCGCAATAATCAAGCGCCAAAATAATTTGCTATTGCGTTGATCGCCAACAATTTGACTAACATGCATTTTTTTTTTTTTTGAACAACTTGACAAAAAATATTTATGTACACGTTCAGCTACAGTCGTCCGTCGACTGAGTAAACCCGGCTTGTACGAGAAATAAATTTTTATTGATTTTTTTTGTTTTTTTGTTTTTGTTTTTTAACTTCTTGACAGCTTCACGTTTCGAACGCAACTGATTCTGATATAACGTCTTGACTGATTGCTCGATGTCCGGGCCAGTTAGTGCTTATTTTATGGTTTTTTTTATTTTTATTTTTATTTCTGTTTGTCTTTTTGTTTGTTTGTTTTTTTATATTTCTCTGAGTATTTGTAATGCTAAGATGAATAACAAATCGTATGAAGTTTTAGATGATAAGCAATTATATTTTGAGGTGTATATTTATGACATTAAATATAATGAAAACCAGACAGCAAATGAATATGTTATCGTATTGCTGCTGCTGTCGTTGTGATTATTGCGTTCGTAACTAGTGGCACATCGTTCAACAAATTTTTTTTTTTGTGAAGCTATCGGTTAAAGTTTTGGCAGATAATTAACAGTAGACGCAAAGGGTCAAATGACGTTGCACGCACTTATAATACCCGCCACAGTAAAACGACCGCTTACCAAGTTTCTTATTCTCTTCGTAACTAAGCTTCCTAAGCCTTAAAGTGATTTTATTTGAAAAATTCTTGTTTAGTAAATATTTTGTAAAAAATCCGCCTATCTTTGCATACTAAACTAAAATCTTGCGACAAATATTTTTGTAGACACTATCAGGGAAAGGGCTTATCCAAGTTCCACTAAGATGGACATGGGATTTTTATGTGTTATAGATGCTTGCTTAATATCACATAACTTTCTTCTAACATCTACGGATCTTAAAGATGCATTGTTGGGTCTTGTACTTCTCTACTTCTACTCGCTGTTGGACGAACAATAAATTGTAGACATCTTGCAAAAGTATAAGAACATCAAGCAATCTATTCTTCCGAGTTAGACCTATTGGTGTGGTATCTTTAAAAAAGTCTTTAATGCAAACATTTCAAACGTGAACTTGTACTTCTGTTGAACCTTAGGAATAAGTGAATAATTGTCAATTTCTTCTAAAGGATTTCTTGCACTCGGTTTACCTATTAAAAATAGAGCTGCATCAATTTTCTCCACACCGTTGCTCTCGGAGATACTTTCCGCAGAGTTCTCTCCCAAGTAATTTCGACTTGCATAAGTCAAACTGGCCGTTTGTCATCTAATTCGTTAATGACCGCATGTATCATGTATTGTCACATCGACAATGCATAAAAAGCTCGAAATCATAAACTTGGCACAAATACATTCAAGAGAAATCATCTTGAGTCGCTGCCCGAAGCGTTCACAATTAACAAAACACTTAGGCAGACTTCTGTATTGATTTATGTTAATGGATATTAAATATTCGCCCCAAGACGAATACCATTCTTCTGCTCATTTATTTGACTTTGTCTGAAAATGTTATTCTTTTTTAATTAGTTAAGCAGACTATACAGGTATTATCAGAACAAAATTTAGGCCTAAGGAAGAAAATTCTTTCAGTTGCATTTTTTAATGTAAAACCTATCATATATACGTGATTGTATCTATGAAAACAAGGGGCAAGTTCACGGTAGTTTGTTTTTTTGCCATCACATCGCTAAGCCACTGTTTGACAACTGCAAGGTTTTTTAATTGTAAACTTGTTGTTAATAAACTTGGCAAATTTATGATCTCTAGAATAATTTTGGACATTTTCAAATGTAAGTAGTCGATACGTTGTCGTAGTCAACAGATTATTACATTAATTAGCTCCAAAGCCGTTGACATTTAAAGAAAAAAAAAGATGATTTTAACTAAGAATCCGTTAAAAATTTATTTAATTTATGACTTTTGGGTAAAGATAGTAAGAAGTAGTGTTTAATAAAAAACGAGAACTCTGTGAAAATGAGAAGTAGATAAAACAGTGGACCGAGTTAAACGGACACATGTGCGTTCGATCCGTAGACATATTAAAACAAGCAAGCAAAATTTTATTCGGCTTTGGCGAATCTTTTATACCCGCCATCTAAAAGAGATTGAAAAGAATGAATGAGAAACTAAACTTTAATATTCGATGGGCATGGCTGATTTTATGATTTTTTCTGAAACGTATGTGAAAATTTTTAACGCGTATCTATTGTAATTTGTGAGTAATAAGCAAGAAATGCAAAAAGCAAAAGTTTTTGTTGCATTGTAGGCGTGTCCCTAAACCATGTGATCAATCTTGATCAACCTGCGTGCAAGAACTTCCAATATTCAATTGTCAGGTCGAAAGCTTCATATTTGCTGCCAAGGGAGGAGTGACATTACGTGGACAGACAGACGGACATGTTTAAACTGATTTAGAATTTGTTCCTGGAGCTTTGCTTTGGATGCTGCAAACGTTTTCACGCAATGAATATACCCGTCCTCCTTCAATAATAAGTATAATAAAGATGAATTAATAGAGGAGATGAAGGTATAGCAAACGATTTCTGTACATGTGCGCTTATCTTCACAAATTATTAACGCGTATTTTGTTTTGCCTGAATTCCAATATATTTTCCAAGTTCAATTCGTTTTTTTCAAATCGAACTCGTTCCAGTGTTCTATTCGAGATGCATGGTCGATAAGATTGAGATAATATTTCTCGGTTTCGCTTTAATGTTGTTATAAATATTTGTAATAAATTTGTAGCTACAAATAGTCTTATTTACTCCCATGACTAAAAAAAAAAATTCAGTCTACTAGCTTTGACTGACTTTCCCAAGTGGCCGGAGAATCGCAAAATAAAAACTTCAATCTTCTATAACTAATTGACAATTATAAAGGGCTCGGCTGTTTAATATGAATTTGTTTAGCGATATTTTTTCTACAGTTATTTTGCTTTCTAGTACTTTTGCCGAAGAGATATTTGTTGAAAGAAGTTTTGCCACTTCGGTAGCAATTATGACGTCTCTGCTGCATACCGAAGAAAGGCTGTTAAAGAATCTGACTATGCACATTGCGAAGTTGGAAAATAAAGTGGAAATTTTGAAAAGGTAAGAGATTGCTAAAGAAAAGATTAACTTTCGCCGGATTTAATTTAATGCGAAATATTTAATAAAACAAATCAAGTTTAATTGAGAAACTGAAGGCCGATAATCTAGAATCGCTGCAAGATCCAGAAAGTTATTTATCCAATCCTTTTAACTATTTCGGATTGATAAGGCATATGCAGGCCGATTGGACAAGCATAGGACATTATATACTCGAACCGATGGGAGAAGGTAACAACCAACAAAAAAACATATGTATTCGTTGTGAAGAAAATTTTGAATTATTGTAAAAACTATCAGGGCGGGTATCAGAATTTTTCATGGCAGGTTTAGTATACTAATCGATAGTATATTAAGGATTTATGATTCAATTATGTCCGATGTTTCTATGAATGTGTATTGATGAAATGCTCTTTCGTTCTTCATTTTTTGAAAATTTCTTAAACGGACGAAGAAACGTGACTGAATTAGTTCAAAACTTTCCATTTACCAAAAATGTATAGAATCTTTTAGGTCATTTTTCAGATAGTGGGTATGGGAATTGTTTAAATATAGGCGTGTGCGTATGTGTATGTGTGTATGTGTGTATATATGTGTGTGTGTGTTCTAAGAAAGTTGGATTACTTTAAAAATCGAGAAAAATTTAATAGAATATCCTGGAGCAATGGCAGATCATCATATAGAAATGCCTACTTCCACCGATTTAGAAGAAGCCGTTGAAGGTATGCATCGTTTACAAACCATATGGAATTTAGATGTTTATGATATGTCTAAAGGTATCCTGAATGGCCAACAATATGAGTAAGTTATTATGCTTAATGAGAATCAAAAGTCCCGTTGCTTAAGCACTTTTTCCTGTACTTGCTCTTGAAGAGCTCGATTGTCTTCTTTAGATTTGTATACTATAGCCGTCCATTTATTTTATCAGAAATATTATCGCGATGCTGCGTATTGGGTAATATACTCTATACTATCTTATGAAGCTGATAGTCTCAATGAGTTCCTCGGTTGTGATCGAAGTGAAATGCTAGTATTATACGCCGAAATTCTAATGCACTTAAGTAAATATTTAAAAATTAATGCCGTATACATTAACTGATAAGCTTGTTAACATTTATTGTAGAGAGACCGAAAAATGCGTTAACTATCTTACATAGCGGGCTTCAGTTAGAGCCTTCTAGTCTGAAACTGTTAGAGCGTAAAAATGAAATTGAAACTTTGACTAAAAATGGTACTATTACGCCTTACCAGGTGAAATTTTTATGCTTCAAATTGAAGAAAAAAAAATTGAATGATTATCTTTGCACGTAACGTAAGTACTTAGACGACGAGGCGATAAACGAATACGAGTTCAGTTGTCACGACAAATTACCTAACACTTATGGTAAACTTTATTGTGTCTATAACACAAATACCTCAGCGTTTCTGCGTTTAGCTCCCTTGAAAATGGAATTGTTGAGCCTCGACCCTTACATGGTATTGTATCACGATGTCCTCACCAACAACGAAATTACTAGAATACAAAGATGGGCGACACCCCATCTGCAGCGAGCCATGGTTTACGATTATAGAATACATATGGAAACAACAGTAAAAGGTAGAACTTCTCAAGCGACGACAGTGCCAGAGTTTGGCGAACTCAATGAACGGATTACTCAACGAGTAACTGATATGACTGGCCTGGATATGAGCGCTTCGGAACCGTTTCAAATTTTAAATTACGGTATAGGTGGCCACAACGTAATTCATAATGACTGCTTTAATGTGCCCATGGTAAGACAGTCTATCTATATATAAAACTAAAGCAAAATGTAATCTTAAACAAAAATTATTGCATGAAAGACTAACGAGTTAGTACAGAAAGACGGTGACCGGATAGCAACAGTTCTGTTTTATGTAAGTTTTTATAAAATGTTTAGATTATGTGTGAACTTATTGCACACATTCGTCACTTAATCATTTAAGATGACCGATGTGGAACATGGAGGTGACACTGTTTTCCCAATAATTGAAAAAGCGATACATCCCCAGAAGGCAACTGCACTATTTTGGTATAATCTTGACAATGATTTACAGATGGATTTGAATACACTGCATGAAGCTTGTCCAGTAATAGTGGGTTCTAAATGGAGTATGTCTTATTTTAATATACATTTCTCTAAATTAACGTATTAAGCGTATATTTAATTTAGTTATTACAAAATGGATTCGTAGTAACGCTCAAATGTTCATAAGACCCTGCCGCAGAAATTAAAAACATTATAAGTTATTTGCATTTCTCTTTAATTCCTCGCAACAATAAAATTTAATATGAATATATATACTGATAACCATTTTTTTTTGTTTTTTGGATATCATAGCATCATTGAACAGGGCGATCCTATTGGAATTACTATTTATTAGAAACTTTTGGCGAATCGTAAAACTATGTGTCATAGAATCATCAACAAGCAGCGCACATTTTTCTTGAGTCCCATTTATTTCCGGTTTGATCCTATGAAGTGTCTTCAATTTTTAAGTAAAAGCTTAAAAAAAGGAAAGAATATAAATATTTTGATACCTTCTAATACGAGGTAACGTAAGCAATTTATTTCAATTTTTATACAAATGCTGTAGGATCATTCATAGAATATATGTGAAAATTCTTGTCCTCCTAATAGAAAACAAACACAAATATTTTTGCTTTTGCAAAGAGAATTGTATTTTAATCGTTTTCATTGAAACAATAAATACGGAATAAACACACACGCACACGCTTACACAAGTATGATTCGGTGACTTGAAAGAAAACGGAGAGAACAAAAATATTTCTAAATAGTTTTTCTCATCATCCTTCTATTTATTATAGTAAAGGCAAACAACTCACTTCTTTCTCTCGGGATCTTATTTGCATTAGAAACGTTAAAATCATTCTCTTTCAAAGCAAGACTTTGAGACAACAAATTAAGCCGCTGAATTCGCTCTCTCTCTGAGTAATCAGCTATTCTGCTCTTCGAAGTCTAGTTAAAATTGATTGCCTTAATATTAATGAGATAATTGCATAAGGAACTTACGCACGGTTAGTTTAGGAAAATGCGTGTGGAATTTATTTCGCGGATTTTATTTCGGAGATATGTGTTATATTTTTCAAATAAATCTAAAATAAAAATTTTAATAATGGAAAAAAATCATGCCAATAAGAAATTTATAATTAAAAGGCCAGAAAGTGCCAAAGTGAGTTCGAAAAAGAAAAGAAAATAAGTCGCCAAAAAAAGTAAGCCACCATTTTGTGTAACTGGCGTCACTTTTGAATTTGCAAAGGCCTCTTTATAATAGTTTGCCAGTATAACGGATTAGTACGTTTACACCGATACATAAACATATTTAGGATATTTATATTTATATTTTTACACCGATGCATAAACATACTTTGGAGAATTGCGTGTATGTATATAAAGACCGGTTGAGCAATGTTTCATGTGTATGCAAGTGATTGGGATAAAAAGTAATAAAATTTGCGTAAAATAAACAATTATGTTTACATGGGGAAATTTAATTTTTCTCCATTGCAGAAGTTTTCTTTTAAATGTCTTGTTTGATGCATTGAAAAAGCATATCTATAATATCGCGAAGCACCCAAAAAAGAGTGTTTTCAAACATTCATTAGGAAGAGCTGCCTTTCTATAAACACAATTACACTTGTGCCTGTATGTTTAAGTTAAGTGCAATTGGATTATCTTTTGGTAAAGTCTTTTCCGTAAGAAATATTTATCAGTGCGGTTAATGTGGTCGCTTAAGGATCTTTACTATTATATAATATATCACGTACTAATTATTAAATACGAAAACTTATTAAAACATAAATGGCTTCTATGTAAACAATGAACGAACAGTCTGTTGGAAAAATATCTAAGCAATCAAATTCAACAGGTAAGTGCCAAGTTAAATTAATTATTTTATACGCAAAATTTTAAATACATATACGTTCGATCATATTATTATACGTTCGCTGTACATAATGAAAATGAAATTTGAATGAATGTAATTTAGTTTCAGGCCTATAGAAAAAGCGAGTATAAGAAAGTTTTAAGAAAGTCCACTATCAGCATATTTTCTTTTCCACATGACGAAATCTTTTTTGAAATTTACGGAAGGAAATGAACTTGCAAAAGAACTGTGCATCTTGAGAAGTATAAACTTTTTGCTAATGCTGAGAGAACATTTTGGAAAGCATTGATAGCCTATCGCTTTTTACCCCCCAATAAGTCCCAGACCCAAGTTTTGAAATTTTTAATTTTTTAATTTTAATTTAATTGACTCACTCGGTGGAATTAATGACCGATGGGTTATTTTTTGAACCTTTCAATTAAAATATTTAAGTGGATTGTATTTTTTAAACTCAGTTGCACTTCGCCTCTATTAGATTTGTCAAAACGCACCGATATGAGCGGGAACAATGCAACGGATCTGGCTGCGTCCGTCTGTCTTCTCTTGCCAAAACTGGTTTGGAAATTTCAACTGGTTTGCAATATTTGTTTATTAGCTTATGCGTCCGTCCACAATTAGAAAATCTTGCTCATTTTTACAGTTTTAAGCTATAAGTCTTTTATTATTCCCACATATGCTTTCTATTATGCAATTATGTAAGGAGCAGTGTGAAAATGTATAAAAATATGATTTGAAAGAGATATGATGCGAAGCCGGATAATTTAGTTGAATGTCAAAAATGGAATGACAAGCTTATAACATTCCTATGCTTCTAGTATTGAGTATAAAAATAAACTTAAAAACTTTTTTTTAATTCCTTACGCTTTTTCTTGAATGCTAGCAAAGATTTTTAGAACCAATAAAGAAGGAGGAACATTACAAACGAATTACTTTTTAATACACCAATAAATGGAACAGTTATAAAAACCATTAAACCGTTTTATGCGAATAGAGCTTTCAGTCAAATATAGTAAATTGTGTACTTAAATGTTGCAATAGATTTAATCTTTCAAATTTTCAAAAAAAGTGAAGATAAGGTTTGTTTTTTTATGTTATACAAGCGTATATCCAGTTTGTGCAGATGTATACAACACCCAGAAGGACTTGGGTTAAGCCCAAATTTTATTATACCGATCGATTCAGAACTAGTCTGTCTGTCTTGCGTTTAACCTACGGGTCGCAAATTTTTAAGATATTTTGATGAAACTTGGTACATTGAAATGTTTTCGCCCAAGGATAAACACTATTGAAAATGGCTCAGATTGGCCCGTTTTTCTATCTCTTCCCATATAATGCTTGAGTAGTCATTGAGTAGTAGAATACGTGCAAGGCGTTGCGGGATATTTAATCGTATATCAGCGACTGTAGTGCTTTTGTTCGTTTTAGAAATCATTTTTTTCATTAAAATTTCGAAAATGTGCTTAGTTTGATTACAAGAAACAAATCACAAGTCTTTGGGATGTTTTTAGAAAAATTAAAAAAACATTACTCAACTTATTTTAGGGTGTTCCGCTGACGAATCAAACTTTGTTACAAAATTCACCTTTGCAGACATTTTTAATACATTTAATGGGTTATATACTTATAAACATACAATTGTAATAATGATAGCATGAAGTGAGTCGGAGCGAATGTCACTCAAAGTTATAATAGAGTAACAACTGATAATTTTCTCGATTTAGAATTCTTTCGTTATCGAAAGCATGGAAAAAACAAAGTTATTAAAGCCAGTTTCAGTTTAAGAGAAATAGTTTGCACTGTTACACTGCTGTTTTGATTAAGAAAAAAAGAAAATCGAAAAAACAATAATAGAAAGAATGTATCTGTTGAGAGCCTTTTTTTTCCTGGCATTCACTACAATTACTTACGGTCAACCGAGCGAAGGTAATGAAGAGAAAAGTTTCGCTATTTCCTTGGCTAGTATGATACCGTTATTGGATATTGAAAAGCAATTAATAGAAATTCTTGAAAATTATGTCAAGAAATTGGAAGATAAAGTTGTCTTTTTAAAAGCGTAAGTGAAAGAAAGTCGATGATGAGAGAATTTCGGGTTATTCTAAAATTTTAATTATAGTTTAAGTGATGAAATGATTGAAGAAAATCTTGAATCGCTAAAAGATCCAGAAGGCTACGTATCGAATCCTTTGAATTCCTTTAGATTGATACGACGCTTGCAGCGCGATTGGATCAATATAGAAGCCTACATTATGACTCAGCAAGAGGAAAATGGTAAAAAAAATATTCATAAATATTAATGCGAAGCTGAATACATTTGACAATTCACTTGAAATGTATGCGTAGAATATCTTGAAGCAATGGCCGAACATCACAGACAAATGCCTACCTCAATCGATTTGGAAGATGCCGTCAAGGGTATAGATCGCCTTCAAACTGTTTATGATTTAGAGATTGACGCGATGGCAAATGGTATTCTGAATGGCAAACAATACAAGTTAGTTAAAGTTTCAAGCTTTTCGAACGAATGAATATTTCTACTATCGCGCTTACATTTTTCTTCTTTTATTTTTTTTTTTTTTTTTTTTGTTTCCTTGCTAGATATCGATTGTCCTCTTTAGATAGATATACAATGGGTGTTCACTTGTTTGATGAAAAACGTTATCAAGATGCTTTATTTTGGTTATATTCCTCTTTATTGTCTTACCAAGATAATAGCTTTAATGCGATATTCGACTTTGATAAAACTAAAATTTTAGAATTATACGCCGAAAATCTATTGGAACTACGTATGTAAATGCTTTCAATTTTTTAAAAAAATATCGCAGAGATTAAAACGTCCCCTTTTTGCTACTTAATATGTAGATAGACCAAAAGATGCTTTAATCGCTATTAGTCGAGCAGCTGAATTGAATTTCTTCGATGCAAGAATTTTAAAGCGCAAAAATGATATAGATATGTTGGCCAAAACGCATAAATTAGATCCGTACGAGGTGAGATTTTCCCATCAAAAATGCAAAAAGAAAAAAGAAAAAAGACTTTAGTTCGATTTTTAATAGAATTTCACGGAGCAAAGAGTTGGTGAGCCAACTAACTTCGAATTAGGTTGTCGCGGCCAGTTCTCCATCATTCCTAGTAAACTTTATTGTATTTATAATACTACAACTACAGCGTTTTTGCGTTTGGCTCCATTCAAAATGGAATTTTTAAGCCTAGATCCCTACATAGTGCTATATCATGACGTTTTAACGGATCGTGAAATTGTAATACTCAAGGATTTGGTGAAACCTAATTTGAAACGTGCCACAGTTTACGACAAACAGCGGCAAAAAAATGCAATAAATAACGAAAGAATCGCAAAAAGTTCATGGTTACTTGAGGATAGTAGCAATATCACGCTACGTATTATACAAAGACTCTCAGACATGACCGGTTTCAATACATCCGGATGGGAACCAATGCAAATTATGAACTATGGTCTAGGTGGTCACTTTAGAGAGCATTTTGATTTTTTCAATCTGTCAGAGGTAAAGTATTCTACATAAAAAGAAAAAAAAAAAATGAATAGAACCCACCTTCAACTTCATCTTACCTTTTAAGACTACCGATTTCATCGATATAAATTCGCAAAATGATCGTCTAGCTACTATACTTGTTTATGTAGGTTCACCTATAATCATAAAATTGCAAAAATTTTATTCAATAATTCTTTTATATAACTTAAGATGAGTGATGTAGAGCAGGGTGGTAGCACCATATTCCCAAGCATTCGTACCGTTGTGTCTCCAAAGAAAGGTTCCGCAATTGTTTGGTACAATCTGGACAATGCGTTAAATGCGGATTCGCGTACATTGCACGGCAGTTGCCCGGTCTTAGCTGGTTCTAAATGGGGTGCGTAAAATAAATTGTTTTCACCTCTTTTGCATATCTTAAACAAAAATGCATTTTTCTTCTTCTAGTTCTTACCAAATGGGTTAATTCGTTGCATCAAACGTTTAGAAAGCCATGTTATCGTTAAGTTAGCTTCTAATATATATGTTTAAAAAATCAATAGAGAAAGCAGAGTTCATTGTTTATAATCTTGCCCCCTTCTATTCTAGGTTAATGTAATAATAATAAGAATAAGAAAATTCATGTATTTCTATGCATTAATCATTTAAGAAGCAAATGCTAAAACAATGAATTTCGAATTCAATTTTAATTGCTTCATAATAGATGCAAGTGCACACAATGGTGATGCTTGGGGTTATCTTGTAGGATTTTGTAACTCGTTTTGTTTTTTTTTTTTTTACTTTTTATGTTCATTGTGGTCAGCCGCTTTTCATCTCGTTAAATAGGAATTGTCGCATAGCCATCGAGAATACGGACTTCGAAGATTGATCTGCATAGTAGCAAATAGTTGATCTACACGACATTATCGTAAACCGAAAGCAGCGATGTTTTCATCCTTGAATCAATTATGATTCAATGACTTTAACTTGACGTCCACATTGAATGCTTAGTCCATATACTCATGTATATGAATATATATATCTATATACATATATCTATGTATATCTGTATTCATTATATAATATCGTTTATATATTCGTTCTATATAAAGGATGAAAAACTATGCCATCGTAGAAAATGTTTCATTTAAAGCTAAAAAAAAGTTTTTTACTTGCAAGAGCGACGTAGATGTTTATAATGACATTAATGCATGGCTGCGATTTAATATTCAACGCGTCGTTATCGATATTTTTTACATAAATTTTTTACAGATCCCTTTAAGCATGAAATGAAACACAAAAAAAAAAAGCAAAAATTGAAGTTTCAATACTTTAAACAATATAAATAAAAAATTATTTCTGGTTTTATTAACATTAATTGTCCAAGAAAGATGGATTTCTAAGGTTTCGCATTCATACGTATAAACTAATCGTTGAAAAGTCTTGAATTTCAATGCCTTGTTATATGGTGAGGCGAAGAATTTATATGAAATTTGCCATGAAAATTGCAATTATTGCAACAAATATATATATACTTTTCGCTTCGCCTTTGCAAGACATTTTAAACAGTTTCGATAGACGCATAAAATATTAAACCGAAACCATTAATACCATTATCAGCATCTACTTTACTCGTGGAATGTAGTCAATGGTGTAAACCACTGTAATGGAGGTTCTTTAGGTGAAAGGAGTTTTTTTAGATGTAGAAGAGGTTCCTTAGATAAAAGGGAAATCCAATCTCATATTTACTTGAGAGTTACCTTGGTGAAGTTGTACCAAATATATCCGTTAGTGTATTGAACGAGGCAGAATCAAGAAGTAATAAGCTGCAGCTTGCCATTCTGGTCGTAGCACTTCGGAAATAGCTTAGAATTTTCATAAAAAAAGTTTGTTGTGGGCGCGTATTCTAGAAGGTCGAAAACATCTATTAATTTTATGTGTTGAAAAATTTACGGTTGTGTATCCCATTAATAAAGCTTCGATGGCTCCTGAATTCTGGAGACATTTTCTACGGCGACATCGCCTTTAAGCTTTTGTGTGTAGTATTGTGTACCAAATTTGTAAGTAAATGATTTGATGAGAAAGTAACGTCAGGTTACTATTTAACGCTTCTTCTTTAAGGTCTATTCTGAGTGAACTTACCTACCTGTAAAAAGAAAACGAGTGAAAAAACTAAAGTGAGACGTGGCTCACTATTGAATACTCTACACCACTTGACAGTTACAGGTTATTACAATTACTTGTGTAACAACTTTTCAGAATAAGGCTTCATATGGGAAGTAGTGGTCGGATCCGAACCACTTTCAACATTGTTCGTCGTTGAGCCAAAACATCTCATGAAAATATCTCAAGCAATATCTCATCTGTAGATTGAACATAAGAAAACAAGACAGACAGACGGGCAGATAAGCTTAGATCGATGAAAAAAGTAATTTTGAATTGAGCATTATAATAAAAGGTGAGACTATCCTAAGTCCTTTTGGATGTTGCAGACATACGTGCACACTTAATATATCCTTCTACCCTCAAGTCGTGTATAAGGCTATGATCATACAAAGCCTTGTACTTGATTGCCGTTAAAACGCGGCTTCCGCGTCTATTTCTAAGAAAGGCTTCGCTTTTCATTTTTGTTTTTGTTTTTATTTTATTTAATTTGTTTAAAATAATTTTTGTGTACATAAATGATGCTTCTATAATATTAATAAAAACATTTATTTCTGTATACAGATTGATTTTTGATTTACGTTTCATTTTCTTTTTTCTTTTTTTTTTTTGGAAAATTTCAACTTCAAGATAATTACATTCAATTTATTGTGGAAGCAAGGACACACTAAATTGAACTTGATTCTTGATATACAATGAATATAATTTCTTATTCCATTTATATATTTTTTTTTCTTTTTTTTCTCTTTTTTGCTTTTTTCTTGCTTTAATAAAATTTAATACTGTCAATTGTGCTTTGTTTGTTATTACTGTTTTTTTTCTTCTTCTCTTTTTTTCTTTTAATGCCTATTACTATATTATTTATATATATATATATATATATATATATATATGTAGAGTAGTGGTGAGCATTGTAGGTGGTTTTATTGTTGCAAAATTTGTCTCACATAGAGTTTGTTTGTTTACGTTTTACAAGTAGGGATTGTCTTCGAGGGGCGTATTTAGGTGTTTCACATAAAACAGAATATATGCTTTTTGTTGTTGGGTTTTCTTCTTTTTTTCTTTTTTTTCTTTAATATCATTATTATTATTATTATTATTCGCATAGTTATATGAACGTATGCATGTGTAGATGTATCAATATCAAGAAATATCGACTTTTTTGTTTTATTATTATTATTTTTTCATACAAACAAAAAGGCTTTTTATGTATTTATTTAGCCTTTAATTATAGAGATTTTCTTAAATATTCAACATTGCTTCCCTTGGGATATTAGAAAAAAAAAAAAAAACAAAAAAAAAAAAAGTTTTGTTTTCTGGTTTTCCTTCTAAAACGCTGTATTATTTGGTTTTCATACGCTTTCGTGGTTTACTTGAAATTACAGTTTCTTAATTTGTTTTATATTTTTTAATAATATTTTTGAGGTTTTTTTCTTTTATTAATTTACATCAATTTAATTTATTACATTCAATTATACAAACACTTACCCAAGAAAATATATATATTTTTTGCAATGAATATTTGAATACATGTTAATATTGTGCTTAAATAAGAGAAAAACATCTAAACTTTGCGTGTTTTTTTTTTTTTTTTTTTTTTTTTTTTTCTTGTTAGCATACTTTCTCATGTACTGATCTAAAAATCAAAATGAAATTTTTGTTTTTCTTTTTTTTTAGATTAGTAAAGTGCTTCTCGTTTTCTTTAAATTTAATTTAATACGATTTTATTCAATCTTATAAGTTCAACAATGTAATCGCTATCCCAACATATCCAACAGGTTCCTGATGTCCGCTGCGATGTCTTCGCGAACAAATTAATTCTAATATTTATGACATAAAATGATCGATGAACAAAAAATTACTTTTCTTTTCTTTTTCTTTTTGTTTTTTTGTTTTTTGTTCTACTCATGACTGACCGTTTTTTATTTATTTATTTATTTTTTTTTAATACGATTTTTTGGTTAGTTCCTCTTTAGATTTCGTAATTGCGAAATTTGTTTGCTACGTCCGAGTTGTCGGTGCCCCATTCAGGCTTGCGACTGCCGTAATAGAGGGCTGCCCCACCCTCTGAGGCTCGACGATGAGCTGGATTGGGTGCGCCTGCAGCCAAGCCACCGCCACTAGCTGCGGAACCAGTAGCGGCCGCTGTCTCCGGTAGCATACGATCTTTTGTTTTCGGTGTTGCCCAATGCATTGACTTTTCGTTAAAGGAAAATTATAAATATAAACTATATGTTAAAACTATATACGAAACATTGCACATCTAATCACAAGGAATCTACTTTGCATGCAGATATCGTTCTGGATATTGATGGATATAGAGGTGGGTTCGTTTGCTTAAGGCGAGTCTGGCATACCCAGCACCTAAGCGTTAATTTTCAAAAGACCCCGAAAAGATTAATCGTTCTTCTGCAGTTATTCGGTTTCCGTTATTGATTCGCCTAGATTTTAAAAATTGATTTATATTCATACCCATGAAGATTATATTCCCAACACCAGCTGTATGAAATTGAGAAATTTGAGATGCCAAGCCTGGTGACCGTCGCGACTAAGTAGACTTAAATTTTTGCTTCGACCACTTGTAGCTTTTAACAGGTATTTTCGTCAAGAGGTTAACAAGTCCAAGAAAATTTTCAAGTGGCACTTAAAGTCTAGTAATTGAACAATAAATATTTTACACCTTTTTCTCAGAAAATGCAACAATTGAAGAAGTCGCGAAGCCATTTACTGCGTCCGTTATTTAAACTTTTGATTTTTATCATTAACGCAAAGTCGGGGAGAAGCGATTCATGCAAACTATGATAGGATTCATGTAGCACTTGTCCAAAGGCGAAGTTTTAGCTGCAGCGTGGTCGTCGGTCAACGATCGATTTAACGAGGATTAAAGGCTTAAAAAAAAAAAACTACTTCCTACCACTTGCGCAAGAAAGGAATAAATTCAAACAATTTTTTTAAAGTTTGCTCCAATTTACAGGAAAACGTAATAAAATGGTATGACGTCTTTGATTTTTAATCAATTTTCAAAAATTGACTGAAAGATTGAGCTAATGAAAGAACTTTAGATGTGTTATGTAAGTTATTCTAATCTTTTTTACACGTTTTGGCTTTTGCATTGAGATTTTCCCACTAGAATAAAAACAGAAGTTCCGCATGGTTTCCCTTTCTCAATCTGTAAGCTCTTCTGGCCATCTCCGTTCCCACTAATAGCTGGTTAAATGAAAAAATTAAAAAGTGTATCATAAAAAAAAAAAGCATTTCCTGCTCTGTTGAATAATTCCCCCTTCGTAAAAGACATTTTTGTTTCGAGCGAAATGGTAATAAGGATTTTATCATGAGCAACAAAAACACACTGTCCTGATATCGCAACAAAGCATAATTGAAATTCTCGGCTCTCATGCTATGAAATGCGAGGGAAGAAAAAAATCCATTAACCGTTATTAAACAGTCAATGCAGTTTCCGTAATTAATATGATATGTTGTAGGTGCTGCGGTTACTAATGTATTCACATGTAATTTTATTATCAGGAGCTTTTCAAAAACTGATATCATCATCACTTTAACAGAGAGGCAAAGACACGAAGTAAATTATTTTGAAATTTTAAAAAATATTTTTCAAACGCACACACGCACGCACACTTTTCAATATCAACAAGACTTTTCTTGAAATTTTACTCATATTAAAAGAAATCCACATTTTTTTTTCATGCTTGTACTCGATCACGGAGATACCCCCCCCCTTTTCCCTTTCAAGTCATGTGCATATTATACTTTGATGTATCTTAGTTAACCTGCAGCAAAACATCAACTACAAATATATTACGGAATGGAACATTCAACGGCATAAAAGGGTTGGATTACATAGTGCAATGACAAGTGACAGAAACATCCATAGAAATGTGCTTCAAAAATATGTAAAAAAAAAATTAAAAATAAAAATCGTGGGAGAGAAAATTTATGTAGGGCTTGCACTGAATATTTTGTTATCCACCGCTTGATTTCTATTTAAAATCCATGTTCAATGCATACGCGATCATAATTATTTGCATGTTCATTAATATAGTTTGAATATTTTTACAAAATGTCGAGCACAATTTTACAAACTTTTTTCGCTATATATTTATAACTTTTATGTACATATACATGTTAAGCACATTTGCCGAAACAATGACAACTAACATCTCCATAAAAGGAGAGAAATATGATTACATAATATATATTGTAACCCAAAATATTTTTTACACGTTTTATCCATACCCGAAAAAGTTTGTTCTTTAGTGATGGATACAAAAAAAAAAAAAAAAAAAAAAAAAAAAAACCCTGTGGGGGATACTAAATTTTCCGCAATTTTTGTTTTAAACATGCATTCATATAAAGTGACGGCCACGTTTGGAAAAACTTTCTTTTCCACATATTATTTATTCACTTTTTTTTTACAAGGGAACATAAAGAATAGAGAAATACTTTTTTATTCCGAGCACATGTGTTTTTTGTAATGTTTTGTGAAAAACAGAAAATGGGAGTTTAGAGTGCCCCGTTACATCAAGAGAAAAGGGAGCAAAATTAAAAAAATAAAAAAAAAATGAATAAAAAAGTGTTATGTACATGTGTAAAGTTTGCCTACCTCTTTATCCACTTTCTCCGCAATTGTATATCTTCTCACCTGACCAACATGTTCCTTCATGCCCAACCAGTTTTTATAGCTCATAGCAATACCGCTGTTACGCCATTTATCGTAATTTGTACGCTTCTCGGGGTCGCATAAAGTTTCTTTAGCCTCCTGCAGCAAGAAATTAATTTAAAAACAAAACACATACATATATCTATAAAAATCTAATTGTGAACAAACACGTATAGAAAGCACACAAATTGTAAGAGTAAGGTTTTAGTGTTCATAAAAATTGAGTAAGGATGGATACCGATTGTAAAAAATTCATTTGTAAAAAAGCCTTAAAGGATAATAAAATATTTTGTAATTTTTTATTCATCTATAGTTTTTCACATTTATGCCTTTGTCTCCTTTTTTCCACTACAAAAACTATGGATGATTATCCGCCATCGTTCTTGAACATTTAGGTCAACATAAGTTGGCGGTTTTTTTTTTTTAATACCCATCAACGAAGGGCAGGAACTACATTCGTTTTGCCAAAACGTTTGCAACGCCTAGAAGGAGGCTTCAGGGGCCCCACAAAGTACATATATCAGCATTAAATCTGAATCGATTTAAATACGTCCGTCTGTCTAAACTGTTGTCCTGGCCGGAAAAATAAACTTATGGACTTCAAATTTTGCAGAAAGACTGGAGGTTCTTTCACGCAGGTAAGAATTAAAATTTGGTCAAATCAGTAGAAGGACTAGTCTACAGTACCACATAAACTGAGGACACTTTTGCTTTTTAAAAGGAATGAAAAATTGGTTTTTTGCTTCTTACTCATAAACTGCAGCAGATAAGTCTACAAAAATTTAAAGATAAATTCTAGGGATTCTAGGCTGCAGTACACACACAAAAATGGGAAATGGGAATAAACACGCCTACCCAATATTGCAGTGTATAAAAATATAATTATTTTTCTAATAACTTCATAACGCTCAGAAGAGGGCTTCAAAAACCTAATAAAGTATATAAGCATATTCGTCTGTCCGGCTGCCAAACGGTGTGGTATTTTTGGTAAATATTCTCTCGCTCGGAAAAACGAAAATATCGCCAACAAATTTGCAAAATAATTTAAAAATGACCCAAACTGCCTTAGAGAGACACGCCTACAACGTTCACACTCCTGTATAATATACACTGTGATCGGCTTTGCTTGTTAGTTATGAAGTGCAACACATAGGCCACTTTCACTTTGAATAGAGCAACGATCAGCCGCATCCAACCAAGAGTATGAAAATTTGGTGATTTTCTCTCCCTTTCCTAGGATAACGATGATGGGTACAAAATATTTGGTCATGACCGAATATAATTTTCTTACTTGTTTTCATTCCCCGCATAAACACCTACCTACCTATATTAAAATGTTTATTTAATTTAGAAATGATTTCTATCAGATTTAATATTCTTTTCTCTAGGCGAGTGAAGTCGGTGCGGTGCTATCATTTACACAAATATTCCCGAAAGCACAAAAAATATGAACTCTAGATGGCACAATTTATTGCAATCCGAACGTATTGTTGTGCGTTTGTAAACTAAATACTAGAAAAATGTATACAAATATTAAAATTACTTTGCAATAAAATCCTTTGAATAAATTATTTACATCTACTATTTTCTCTTCCTTTAATTTCTTTTTTTTTTTTCTTTTTTTTTTTCATTATTCTTTAATATTAATATGCACAAACACTACATATACACGTAGCAATGTAAAGTACATGCAACAGGTGTAAGTGCTATCTGCTTTGTATATGAAAGCGTTTTCGTATTCAATGGAAAGGAAGAAAATAGAAAAAGTATCCCTAAATAGAATACACATACACAACTTGGTTTGGTTTATCGTATCTGATGATAGTGTGTTAATGGAAACTTGTGGTTTTAGTGGCACGTTAGATCTAATTTAGTTTGGTTGATATTGTTATTGTTCTTACCTTCAATTTTTGAAATTTAGCTTCAGCTTCTTTATCACCGCTATTCTTATCGGGATGATACTGCAACGCTAAGATCTTGTATTCAGACTGAATTTGTTCAACCTGTAAAGTGATAGATTAAGAAAAAGTTACATTAGCATCAAACTTATTTCAGACACTCTTCCTTTGATTCCTCCTCCTCCTTCTCCTCCTCCTCCTCCTGTGCTTTTGTTATTCGCTTTACCGACATGTCAACAGATCTGACATTGCTTTGTTGTTCCATGTAAGTTTGGTTATCATACAAGTTCTACTCTTGTTGTGTCGTCTTTTTTTTAATTTCGGATTTACTACAAAAAAAATATATGAGTAGCGGTATGTGCGCGCATGCTGTGACAGTCATTTTTTTGCAAAACGTATAATGGATGATAACTATAAGACCCTTAGGTAATTCAATACCGTGCTCTAGTACCTGCACGCGGGGTGAATGGGTTGGATAGACAATGTTTTACAAAATGCTATGCAAGTATCCTATGTATACGAATTCACATGCATGTGCATATGCAGGTGTACTTAACAATCTGTTAAATATTACATTATTCTCTCTTACATTGTTTACACCAAGCGCTGCACCGCACCGCTTTGCTGTATTTGTTCCCTTTACTTTTTATTTATAAATAATTCCTTTACCCATACGGGCGCAGTAAGCGCAATTGAATTTATTATTATATACGCGTTAATTTAGGTAACAAAGGGCGTAGATTTCGAATATTAATGACTTGTTGATCTAAATGCATAAATATTTCATTATTGATAATATTTGTATCTATATGATATTTAGCATAACTAAAAAGCTTAAGCATACTTATAATTAACATTTTTCTGGATATTCTTAAACCTTTTCAAATAATTTATTAAACGATTATGGCTGAGTTCCTCTTATTGATTTATGAAATGGATTTACCCGAGAAGTAGAGCAAAGAAATACAAGTAACAAAAAATTTTACTATATATGCGGGTGTGTCCGAATATTTTATACCCATCATCGTTATCCTAAAAAAAGGACTAAAAAGTATGGAAAATAACTTTATTTTCATAATATGTCTTGGGCGTGGACGATTTGTTCAATTTTTTAGGATAAAAGCTAAAGTTTATATTGTGTATTCGTTGCTTATGAGTGGACAAGCAAAAACACGAAAAGCAAAGGTGTTCACCGTTTTCTTTTGCATAGGCGTGCGAGCGTCGTGTTTATAGGAAGATAATGTTTACCACAGATACTAACAGATACTACACAATTGGGCAAACAAACAGACAGACATGCTTAGGTGCATTCCTAATTTGAAGCTGGCCAAGAATTTATGTACTATATATAGCGTTCTTCTAGGTGTTATCAAGGGCAGTCAGGTAATACAGCATCGCACATAGCATATACGCGCAAGTTTTTGTAAGGTTACCTGCTCTACTTTATGTGTAGTAAGCCAAAGATCAATTTTTGCGTTTCTTTTTTTTTTTTTTTTTTTTTGGTACTGTGGACTCGTTCTTGTACCCATTTGACCCATTATCAATACCAACCTGCTTACAAGAATCGCCAATGTTTCTGGTAAATTTCAGGAGAGTGTTTACAACATACATTACGCAGGTATATAGACGGACGGATGGTTAAATCGATTCACAATTTGAATATATATATAATTTATGTGGTCGTTAAAGTTTCCTTCTGAGTATTGTAAATGTTCTGACAAAATCATCCTTTATCGTTGATGGGTAGAAAAAACTCTGTTGTTTCTTGCTTGAATAATAAAGAATGTCTTGGTTATGGTAAAACCGAAGTGTGCTTAAAATCGAAAGATAAAAGTAGTCGATCGGAATTGTCTATAGAAACGCCATTGCGAGATTTCCGGGCATTCGGTAAACAACAATCAACACTTCTTTCGATTATTTATCTTTTACATAAGACTTAGGTTCTTAGGCTATAATTACTTTAACAGTTGAAAATCAAATGCTTACGCCTTCTTGTATTCTACTTTTGCGTAGTGCTTGATTTCCTGTCGACTGGATAAGAAAAAGGAAAAACCTTCAAGAATATTTGCTTACTTACTACTTATTTGGTTACTGGTGCTCGTTATGCACTGCTTCTAAACTGTTTTTTCCGATTGCAATAAATACAATTTCTCTGCATACTAATAACATCTATTATATAACGGCTTCGCTGAGTAAATGTTGTTTCTTCGTATGTATGTTATGTCGTTAAGTGATGTCTGAATTCTATTTGAGTTCGCTTAAATGTAAAAAAATTCTAAGCATAAACTTAGTTTCCGATTGCTTTCTGCAATGTGCTAAAGCAGAAAAAAAAAAAACACTTACATTAAATTAATTAGATCTGCTCCGTTACTCAAATTTATGTGACCTTTTCATAAACTGAGTCCTTCCGTTTGAGTCCTTGGACGCGAACATTTCTTCCTTTTGCACCTGCAATTTTTGTTTATCTTTACGAGTGAATATATCTTTGTTTAGTTCTGTAAAGCAAATGTATTCTCACGTCCTCTTACTAACACTATCACTATTATGTAGATATGTTAATGTTTTAGAATGTTTACTAACACAACAGCAGAAGCAGCACGACCGTATATAATGTCATTTTTTCAATAAACCTCTTATTCTTATTAATACATAAAATATATACGTCTGTCTATAGCAATGAAATTTATTCAGAAAAGAAATAGGAAGAAAAGAAAAGTTATATATATATATATATATATTTGTATACACTTATTTTTACCATAAATATCATTATTATGTATTATTTATCCAGAGAAAATAAACTCTTGCTTTGAAGTAGAACAAGCACTAGCAATTTACGTTATATGAAAAATGTATATAAATTTTATAGATTTACACAAAATGTTTTCGAAATATTTTCAAAGCATCTTTCTTTATCGCCTTTACGTTCCTCTCCTCTCCTAACTAATTGTAGTTAGGCGTCAATCTGGCTGCAACAACGCACCTATCGAAGGGATGTTAGTCGATTCCTAGGGTCATTGAGTCCAAAAACAAATCGTCCAATACTTCGAAAAATAACTACACATGTATAGCTGAATGCCCAAATATTGCAATTGTATCTATGTTTGATGTATTTTGGTTATGGAAACTATAGAGATTCTTATATTAAGTAAGAAGAATCTAAAAAGGTTTCAACAACATTTTACAAAACAAGTAAAAGAATTATAGTGGGCCAAGTAACACCGTTAAGTACCCTAGGTCTACCTCGATTAGTACAGTGTTTTACGGAGGGAGTTTACGAACAGTTTCGTTATCCTTCCGCTTATTTTTGGCTCACCACACGTTAGTGTAATAAATTTCATCGAAATACCTCGAAAATTGCTACCTTGGAATCATTTTCTAACTCGATTGATATAATAAAAGGTGGGTCTATCTTAAGTCCTTCTGGTTATTATGTATCTCCGCACAAACTCTACCACAAATGATTTATGGTATAATAAGGCGTTATATGGGAATTGGTCGAAAGAGCCGGACCGATCCAAGTTATTTTGAATAGCATTCGTCCTTGAACCAAAGCAGACACATTACGAGAGAAGACTACTAGCTTCAGAATTATTTTCTGAAGGGTAGGCTTATCTCCAGTTCCTCTCCAGGATATAATCACACATCCGCCTGAGTGGCCGATTAGGCAAAGGAACTCGACCAAGGCCAAGTCAGTGGTCGATAGCCTCAGGCGCTATTCCAGTGATTTAGCGTCTTGGAATTTATTTTTCTGACTAAATTAATTACAATAATAGTTTGACTACGCAACTCGAGAAATTCTAATTTAAATAATTGATAAGTGATAACTTAGCTTTTTTCTGTTATTAATTGGGAAAGGGATCGCTAATAAAACCTTGCGCAGCTCCGTTGACTCACATGAAGTTAGTAAATAGACATTCTCGCATTGAATCCGACCCAAACGAAGAGAAACAGATATACTAATATATATAATTAATTGAATTAGAATATGGTTCTGTTCGAGCATGTTGTTGGAAAACCATTTGCAAAGCTAATAATATACTCGCGTATTGTGACAACAAAATGCGAAATAATTTTCCTTTATAAATAACAAAAATAATTCTCTTTAGCGCTTTTAATATTTCATACCGCATGCACATGTATACGGACAGGATCGTTTGTATAGGATGCAAGGAATTTGTAACAACATTTTTCGTTCCAAACATCAAATTTAATTATTTGCTTTTAAATAATTTGCATTAAACAAAGTAAATTTCACACATTTTCAGCATGCCTGACTATAGTGGCTATGCAAAGGCATGCATATGGTTTTCCATACGGTTCTTACTCACTTACATTTCGTCGGTATTGTTAATATATTTTTGTAATAAATAAAAGTTAATGTAAACATTATGTTCATAGAATCCATGAAGGTTGTATCTATATGTAGGTGGTAACGCAGGCGAAACCAAGAAAACAATGTAAACAGATAGCGTACATCAGCTATTTTGATGTGTGCGCACGAAGGAAAAGTTAATATCAAAAGAAAAGAAAACTGTAGTATATACTTGGGCGTTTTTATAAATGTATACATCCAAAAACGTTTAATATCGTGCGGATGAATTAAAAAAAGATAAACAAAAGGAAATATATACATATACATATATATATATATATACATATATATATATATATATATTCATACGAATAAATGAAAAATAAAACATATAAAATGTACACACTCACACAGCCCTCCAAAAATGTTAACTGTGTTACACAGTAAATTGAAATGAAAAACGAATAGAAGTAAGAAAACCATGACTGGGATGCCTTTCGGCTAAATTAAGGAAAAAGAAAACCTCTTCCCACACGAGCTAAAGGTTAAGGTTTGTACTAGAATGTAACTCAGTTAAGCGAAAAGCTAAATTTGAATTTAAGGGTATATCGCTAAAGGGAAAGCAGAGCTAAAAGCGGTCCTTTTCCAACTATACTATATATATCGTTCAAGAGATTTAAGATCGTCCGGCCATAAATGGAAGAATAGGATAATGCTATCGGTTTTTTTTTTTTTTGCCAGCGTAGGCTATTCTAAAAGCTCATTTATCTTAATATCGACCTAAGTGATA